TATCCACCTTGCTCCTTTGGGCCTTTACTTCACGGGCTTCTTGGATTAACTACAACCTGTAATTTTACTCTATTCTATCTACTACTTAAATAAAATGGAATAAAATTACAAAAATACTTCACCGGTACGTAGACCGTACTTAGATTACAAAAATACATCACGATGCGCAGATCGTATTTAGCAATCTACTGGGCCATACTAGTCATTATATAGCAGTAAATAATATCATATATTATAAAGTGCCACATAGTAAATCACTCATCATGCTTTCCTAAACTACAACATCGAATGATCATACTTAACGAAACATGGCATCTAAATATCTCATATTTTAATTAATGCAATTAGATAATATCATATATTATTCATGACCATCAATAAAATATCATATATTTTAAATTAGTCATGAGATAGAATCAAATCTTATTTTAATCTTAAAAGATAAATCATATTTATCCTCAAAGATTATTCTAACAAAGTTAGGAAATTCTATCCTAATTACTAGCCAATCACAAAATTTTAAATCAATTATATCCAATATTAATTATGGGATAATCACATTATTTAAATCAATTATTATCCTTTTGGAATATGCTCAGAATATCCTAACAAATCTTATCCAAAATTAACCACTTTAATTATGGATAATTACCAATTTAACAACTTTAAATATCCAATATTAATTGTAGGCAGCTGCTCTGGCAGCCGTGGCAGCAGCCGTGCAACACTTGCACGCTGCTGCCCACAGCCACCCCGACCTCCGCCCTCCCCTTCCCTCCCTCTTGGACCACCACCTGGTCGGCAGCCGCCGTGGCTGCACCACCTAGCCGCGGTTGCCGACCAAAATAATTTTTTTTTTGTTTTTAATTTAATTAAAATAACATTTATTAAAATTAAATTAAATCAGTCCATAAGATTAAAATTTAAATCACATTCAACTTTAAAATTAGGGTTCATCATAAAATTAATCCCAATTTAATTCTAACTTTTAAAATTAAATTGATCATCATACATAAAACACTTTTATGCATTAATCAATCCGATTAAAATTATGAATCATAAAATAAATCGAATTAAATCAAAATCAAGCACAAAAATCATATTTTAGGGCTAGGAATTTCGAAAAATAGGGTTAGGGGGTTCGAAATTTTCGAACATATTAGGGCTAAAATTCGGCCTCTTCATGGCTATTTTGAGCATGATTAAATCACATTTAATCGATTCCAAAAGTTTAATCACATTAAATATAATAATTGAACCATAATTAAATTAATCTCCCTCTTAATTGAATTAAAATTGTGGACTATCAAAGAATTATAGTCAATATGCGTAAATGCAATAGGCTAACTGATACCACTGTAAGGAATTATAGGTACTACGCAGCGGAAATAAACATGAATCATATTCATACAGTACCTAATTCCAAGATCTAATGCATAACATATAAAGAACATATAATCGTACCTTTGAAGCGTGATTCCACGTGCGATCGAGAAAGAACAATGGGAGATAAAGAACCCCAAGCGTGATTCCTCTACTTAGTCCACGAGCATGGATTAAACCTCCACTAATGCTAGTTAGTTGTGACTGAACACTTCAATCAACCTTCAACGGAGATTTGAGCCACGAACACACCACAACACCACCCACGCACCACCACACGCGCCACCCAAGGAGGAGGGTCGTACGGACAGGGAGGAGAGAGAGGGTCGAGTAGAGAGAGAGAGAGTTAGGGTTTTTGGGAAACCTGGTTGCTTGTGTGACAATTCACTGTATGTCAATTGTTGTTTCATGCAACCCTAGGCATGGTTTATATTTATAGATCATATCTAGAAATAAAACCATGTCAAGTCCAAAACCCATTAGACTCTTCTAACTATCCAAGCCCAATTATCAACATGGTATGTCATGCACTCATGAGGCCCAATAATGGGCTTCTAACTTGTTTAACCCAATACTCTTATGTGTGACCTTGTAGGATCCATTCTATAAGGCTTTGGGCCATTAAGCTAGCCCAAAGATCAATTGTCATATCTAGCACCAAACATTGACGACCCTATAGAACGAACTTATTATCTCCATAATAGTGATCCTTGATATATCTAGTAATTGCACTTATCGAAGACATAACTCCTTCAGAAACATGGCTAGGATTAGGTTCATTTGTAATTTTCGTTCATTTTGTGGCTGCTGTAATTTGTATGACATAGAACGTGAATTAGTGATATTAATCCTTGTTTTTGTGCCCAAACTTGATTGATATCAAATCCTTGATGTTTTATGATCTTTGTATGATGTTTTTAAAGAGTTTATACATGGTTTTGAAGCACAAAATGCACCATAGGTACTGCTGAAATGTTACATACCTGTCATGAGTTTCGTTGTGGTTATAAGGCATGTTTAACCTATTTTCTTGGGCCAATTCTTGCTGTTTAATATGTAGTAGCATGTAAGGGATTGTTGGGTATAATTTCCATGTGTTAAACTTCGATTTTGGGCATGTTTTGGACTTGTTATTGAGCACGAGAAACTGAAATCCGCGAATGAGTTACAGTAGTTTTGGGGGTGTGAATTTGAGTTTTAAATCTGATTATATGGTTTAATTTCATGCCTACACTAAATTAGTATCTTGTTAGGATATCACCTAATTAATTTGGCATGATTCCAAGCAAGTTTGATATGTTTTTAGAGGCTAAAACAAGGTATGTAGAAGCTGCCAGCAGGTTAGTCAATGCGTGTAGTTTAGGTGATTTTCAAAGGTGTAATGCCTAATTTCTAAGCCCAAATTGATGTTTGTTATGGCCTATTATATTGTAAGATCATGTACAATAATGGGTTAAGCTTAGTTTCATGTTTAAGGTGAGTTTTTGGGTGGATTGGTGCCTTTGGTTCTGCTGTAATTCAATGTAGGGGCTGCTGTATGTATGATTTTATTTGGGCATGTGCTCTCTTGAATTTTAAGTCCGAAATGGTTTTATATGATGCCTAATGAGTGTATGTATATGCCCTAATTTTTATTTTTGCATTTGAAGCATGTTTGGTTGGGTTTTTATAATGATTATTGGACTTGTATGTTGCTGTCTTGTTCTGGTTGTTTAACGAAATGATAGTTTGGATTTTTGGTTTATTGAAATGATTTTTATGTAATTTTTATTGTAAGTATTATGTGTTAGTTGAAATTATATTTTAATTAGGTGATGAGTGCATTTTTGGGTATTATAAACCCCTAAAGTGAAATATTTCGATGTGTGTTTGATTATGTGTGGGTTGCGATTGTATTGTCGACGTCGTAATGCTTTAGAGAAGGATAACACTGTCTTTAGCATCACTTCACCAAGAGTTGTGAATGCACTTAATTGTTGGATTCCGATAATTAATTATATTCCCGAACTCAGACGATAACTTTTGTGATTTTTTTTTTAGTTGAAATGTATTTTGAATTGGAGCTTCCATTGAATTTAAGAAATATGATTTTTCTTGTGCGGTTTTAATTGAGTGTAAGACCATTTAGGCTTCTCTGCAGATTTCTAAGTGAAATATATTATATTATTTATTTTAATTGATTTTGAATTGTGTGTGGGGCCATAGCCGGGTGTGAGGTCGAGTTGCTTCCCGATGGTTAATGAACATGCTAACTACCTTGATTGCGAGTCTTAGGTAGCTCAACCTGGTTTAATTGTTGTCGTCCGGGCGTGTGTAAGACCTTATAGGCATCTACCCATAACCGGGAGTTGACCAATCTTAGACACGGTCTCTGCGAGATGACCGGGGGTTCGTCTTAACAAACCTTAGGAAGTGGATTGCGAGGCCACTAGAGTTCCCTCCATACCAATTCTGCTGTTTGAATGATTTTTGAACGGATTATGAAATTATATATATATATATATATATATATATATATATATATGTATATATATATATATATGTATATATATATATATATATATATATTTATATTTGAGGTTATATGAATTTTTGCTTCAGTTTGGTTTATTTGATTTTGTTTTCAAAGTTAATTTTCATGATTTGTATGGTTGAGTGTAAGTGATTTCTTACCTGTAATTTAATTTCTAAACCTTATTATTAATGATTTGAGGGAGAACTACTAGTTGCTCCCCATTGATTGTGGAATTTTTGTGGTTGTTTCAGATGCAGAGTGATGTTGGGTTATGTGTCGTTGGGCCGGGTTTGAGTAGGCCTTAGGCCACCCTAAGTTGGACTTTTGAATGCTTTGGTTTGGTTTGGCTTGTTTGAATTGTTTGTGTGGATTCTTTTAACTGAGTTTGGCTTTAATACGTTTTGGGATTTGCCGATAAGGGTTGTTCTGCCCTTGGCTTCTTGAAATTTCAAGTTCTTCTTTCTAGGGCCTCAATTGCCACTTTTAGACCCATTTAGGTTTAAATACACTAAAATCCAATGTCTATGCTCCAATTAGATCACATAGACTTAAGTTAACATCCGATAGTGACAAAGTGACCTCCGTCACGGTGTATTTCCGCTAACGGCAATATTTGTATAAGGACAGGGTGTTACAGTTTGCGCATTGCTTGTAACCTCTTTTGAGATCGAAAGTGTAATAGGGTCGGGTTGATAAATCTAACATGAAGGAGGAGAGTTTGAGACAATAAAATTTCATTTCATAACCAATTAGTATTGTGAAGAGATTAGTAATAATTAACTTTTCAAATAAGGTTGTTAAGATCTCAGATCACTACTCGTTGTTAAATATATGACAACTAATATTTGGTGTGGATAATATGTGGTTTTCCATCTTTCGAATTAATCATAAAGATACCCTAAATAGTTCGTTCACACACATACGAGTGTGCAGTAACCATGTACTCGTAGGAGGGAGTACAAGATTGCATGAAGATGATTTAAAAGTTTACTCAAAACATGCCAAATTAATATACTACCTTTGGTCCAAATTACTCGCAACTTTGGAATATTTTATATCTCACAAATAATACCCCAAAGTTACGAGTAATTTGGATCGGAGGTAGTAGATGATTTATATAGCATGAGAAGGGGTCAAAATCACGTGGGATATAGATCAAATGTATTGTACTATGTCGGGCTTTGTGTCACCATTTATATTTACGTACCATATTGTCATAACAGCAGCTAGCAACTCTAATTTAGAATGTGCTTGAAATCCTTGAATTGAAGAATGTTACTTGGTCGGTCTAAAACCATAAATTTATATGTAGGAAGAAAACATGTCTCTATGCAGTTGCCTAAATCTCTCTCTGGCTTGACCAATCTCTTATTCAACAGAAGGTATGCTTCCTTCTCTCTATTTCTTCCCATGTGCCCATGCAACTGCTCTTTTTTTTTTTTTTTTTTTTTTTTTTTTTTTGGGTTTGACTATTTTACCGGTACACTTACAGAAATCTCGATCAAGTGTCAACAAGAGAACGTAAACCTTTGAGGCCTGGTAAGGTGTCTCCTCCTAGACCTGTTCCATCCCATATGAAGAGACCACCTTATGTAAAAACTGGGAGTCCTCCGGGAATAGCAAGTGGACCTGAGGTGCATGATGAGAGGGGGATAGAATGTATGAGAGCCTCTGGGAGATTGGCAGCTCAAGTTCTTGAATACGCAGGCACCTTAGTCAAGGTATTAATGCAAGGCTTTCGGTCTTTTAAATTCTAGAGTATCTTTTTCTTCTTTCTGCTAGTGCATACTCTTCTGATTTCCGTGAAACTTTGTGCGCGGATTATTCTATCACAATCAAAGGATTGTCTTAGGCACTTGAGCTTATTATCTTCTTTGTCTTTCCTGATTAGCTGCAACATATCTTGACCGAATTGGACTTTTTAAACTGGCAGTTTTCCCTTCAAGATTTATTCTACGGAGACTAGATAGGCAGGGTGAGCTGGAAAAAAAAAACAGAAAAAAGGGAAGGAGTCATATCCAATAATTGATTAATTGCTCTTATCTCATCAAGTGATTGATATTTATGTGTAGGACTTAAAAGTGCTCATGCATGCACTCTCTCTATCTGAGTATCTGTTGCTGCCCTATTTCTGTTTCTTTCAGATCCCTCTTTTAGACATTCCCGTCGCCCTCTCTTCCAAAGTAAACAAAGAAATATAAGATGACACTCATGTTACTGGGATATTCTATGGATTAAAAAAGATAATAACTACAGCGTTGGTGCATGTTTACTTACAAAATTTGTCTTCTCAAAACTTCGTTAATATCGAAGGTGAATCTGTTTTCTAGATGATTGCACCCCAATGCATGGTACTTATAATTCTTATCCACAGCCAGGCGTGAAAACTGATGAAATCGATGAAGCAGTTCATCAAATGATTATTGACAATGGAGGGTATCCTTCACCTCTTGGCTATGGTGGATTTCCTAAAAGTGTCTGCACATCAGTTAATGAATGTATTTGCCATGGTATACCAGATTCAAGGCCACTTGAGGTTTGTTCTGTATGAAATGCTATAAACATTGTCCCCACCTTTTCCCTTGTACCAAGTAGTGACAAATGTGCATTTTTCAGGATGGTGATATAATAAATATTGATGTCACGGCCTACCTGAATGTAAGCAACCTAGTACTTCTCTTTTATTCTTCTAGCTGTTCACATACTGTTGTTTATTTTAACATAAAGCCAAAATTCATGGAACTGCAAAACGGTTTTTCTGTTAATTGTGTCACATGCTAAGGCTACCTGCTCATTATAATTTACAGCATGCCTTATATCAAAGCTTCCTTTTCTGAAAATCTTACTGGGAGATCAGGGGCATGCTAATGAGTAACATGAACGTGTAATATTTGCAATGTACATGTTCTATGCCATTCGCAACATTATTTTTCTTTTGCGATTTTATGTTTTTTTTTTTTTTTTTTTTTTTTGGACTTCTATGATATTTCAATGTGTTTGGGCCTCTTGGCACAAATATTTGAGTATATGACTGTGCAATGGTTGAGGATTATATGTATCCACTGCAATATCATGTATTTTAATTTAGTTCTTGCTCTTGGTCAAGCAGGGTTATCATGGTGATACCTCTGCTAGTTTCTTTTGTGGGGAGGTTGATGATGAAGCAAAAAAATTGGTTCAGGTAGTATCTGAGCATACATTTCTGAATTCTGTGCCATTCTAACAAAGGTGTGGACTGACTTGCAACACTTGATTAATATTGCTCATTTCTTAGGTAACCAAAGAATGCTTGGACCATGAAAACTTGTACTGGTCAAGGTGGAATGACCCAATGGCTTATCCGGTTTTCCTAAAGTAGAATGATTTACTAGTATAACCATCTCATTTTGGTTTGAATAAGAACTGTTGGTTGCTCGGTGCACTAGTTGATCATGTTTGTCTTTGTATTTCAATTAAGTTTTCCTCACTTCGAAGTTTTCTTACTGAAGTTGAACCTTCGTCATTCAATTTTTTCATGCGTTATGTTTTATTGCAGAACCTATGCTTACAATGGGCAGTTATAATCCAATTATGTGGGACGATAACTGGACAGTGGTCACTGAAGATGGAAGCCTCTCAGCACAGTTTGAGCACACAATTTTAATTACAAAAGACGGAGCTGAGATTTTGACCCAGTGTTGATCTAGCCAAATCGGTAATGCTGTATCTGATGGCATCTTCCTCCTCGCTCATTGGCTACGATCCTGCAGCAAAATGAGAAGAGCAACAGGACAAGACGGGAAAGAATTTCCTTGACAAGAAAAAAAGAGATAACCTATTGATCTACTACCCTTCTCATTGCTTCTTGCCCTTGGATAGTCCTTTTTTTTTTTTTCCTATTAAATATTGAATTCATTATATTAGTACTGCTTCTGAAAAATTTATAGAGCTGTTTTATTTTTTTGGTAGAAAATTTCAAGGAGCTTATTACTTTACCCCCAAAATTGTGACCGATTTTTGTTGGTAATTGATTCTATAGTCAACATTCCTGTATAGATTAGGGATTAGTAGCATAGTTTCTCTTCAATCTCTACCTTATGTTACTGCAGTGTTTGTTTAATCTGTGTACTCCGTCTCATATTATACACCACTTTTCTTTGTTTTGTAACACAAATCGGCAAAATAAGCTAGACTAATATAAGGTTCTTCTGATGGATTATTTAAAGGAGAAGCGTTAGCTAGAGAATAGAATGAGAGTACTCTTCCCAATTCCAAATGCATGATTCCTAATTTCCTATACCTCATATGCACTCATTGATTTTTTCTCACAAACATTTAATACTAAATAGCTTTGTAAGGAGAGCTAGATGCATACATTTGGATAATCTCGTGTTATATTGACTTATATCATGAAGGTCAAGTGAGATGAAATTATATTTCTACATTGTCTACAAAAGTGAGTTATAATGATGTAATGCTACATCCACTTGAAAATTTACTAAATTTGTTTGAATGTAAAGGTGACAATCACGTAAATTGGATAGAGTTAAAATCAGGTTATGGTTTAAGTGAAGAATCGTTTGGATTGATTTTCGGTTTAAGTTGAGTCATATTCAAATCTATTGCTCATAAACTTATTATAATAATATGATTTTTATTGGTCACACTAATTGCCGAGTCAACTCGATCGGGTTCAATTTATTACAAGTGGTTTTAAATAAAGTTTAAGATTAATGTTAGAAAATCAAGTCGGGTCAGTTTTGTCAGGTCTATTAAAGGTATTTTAAAATTCACACCCAATTCCTTAGAACTCTTTTCATTAATTAGCTATAGCATTCTATTTTGTTCAAATGTAAAAGAGACATAAAATTTGTAGTAATTACACCTCACTTTAGAAGAACTCATCATTATTTAGCACCATTAAAGATTTAATGGTATTTCATCTTCAATCTTGGCCAAACCCAGTTACCACTATCCTGTTTGAGAAATCTCAATTTAGATGAGAATATGGCTTATTGTAAGACATTTTTCATCTTTTTCAACATCCAATCTCTCTTCTTCAAAACTCACTCATCTTCTTCAAGTTTGCAGCAACTCAAGAGCATTAGCTCAAGCCAAACAAACCCACCTGCAAGTTATACAACATGGAATGCATCATGAACCTTATGTTACCACCAAATTGGTTCAAACATATGCTGAATGTGATCATCTGGGGTATGCCCGGAAACTGTTCGATGAATTGCCTGAACCAAATGTTTTTGCTTGGACTGCTCTCCTTGCATTTTACTCAAGAAATGGACTTTTTATCGAGTGTTTGCAGGTTTATGGTGCAATGAGATTTATGGGTGTGTTGCCTGACCAGTATGTTTTTCCTAAGATTTTGAGAGCATGTGCTCAATTGTCAACACTTAAAACAGGGGCAATGGTTCATAAAGAGGTTATTGTATGTGGAGTTGAGTTAAATTTGCAGGTTTGTAGTTCTTTGATTGACATGTACTCGAAATGTGGGGAGGTTGATAATGCTAGGCGGGTTTTCGATAGCTTGGCCGTAAGAGATTTGCTGTCTTGGAATGCAATGATCTCTGGATATGTGGCTAATGGGTTTCTAGAGTTGGCATTGGAGTTATATGGGTCAATGAGAGTGAAGGGTACTGAACCTGATTTAGTCACATTGAATTCTGTAATGGATGCTTATTGTCAAATGGGTTTATGTGATGAAGCTCTCGAGGTTTTTGGGCAGATTGCACGACCGAGTGTTGTGTCTTGGACAACATTAATGTCTGGCTATTCAAGGATTGGAAATCATGAGGCATCCTTGGGCATGTTTAGAGATATGGTGAAGTTTATGGTTGATATACCTGATTTAGATTCTTTGTCTAGTGCAATGGTATCTTGTCGACATTTAAGGGCTCTAAGAAATGGTCAAGAAATTCATGTATATGGATTAAAAACTCATTCTCGTTCTCTATTCTATAAGTCCTGTGGACCTGCATTGTTAACGATGTACTCTAAGTGCAGTCGAGTTTATGATATGAGAAATGTGTTTGAGTTGATGGACAAATCTGACGTAGTCACTTGGAATGCGATGATACTTGGCCTGGCTGATCTTTCAATGGGACATTCAGCACTTGAAACCTTCAGTATGATGCAAATTATGGGCGTCAAGAATGACCAGACCACGATATCAACAATCTTGCCCATTTGTGATCTGAAGCCTGGCAAACAAATTCATGCCTACATTCTTAGGAACAACTTAGGTTCAGTGGTTCCTGTTTTGAATGCTTTGATCAGCATGTACTGTAAATGCGGATCTATACATTCTGCTAAACTAATATTCTCCAACATGACCATGAAAGATTTAGTTACATGGAACACGATGATTGGAGGGTTTGCAATGCACGGAAAAGGAGAGGCTGCTCTTCAAATGCTTAACGAAATGATATCTTCCGGTCTTTCCCCTAACTCTGTAACCTTAACGTCAGTTCTGTCAGCTTGTAATCACTCTGGTCTTATTAATGAAGGGCTTGAGGCCTTTTATGGCATGAGTAGAGACTTTGGCTTGGTTCCTAAAATGGAGCATTTTGCTTGTCTTGTTGATATGCTAGCTCGTGCTGGTCAGCTCAATGAGGCCCTTGATATTGTCATGAAAATGCCAATAATGCCTGACAAGCATATATGGGGGACTATTTTAGCTGCTAGTCAAGTGCAGCAGAATCTGGTGGTTGCTATCTTGGCTGCGGAAAATCTTGTTAGCTTAGAACCCGAAAATGCTGGACATTATGTAACACTGTCGAATATATACACAGATGATGGAAGGTGGGATGATGCAATGAAGGTAAGAAGGTTGATGGAAAGTAGAGGATTGATGAAAGCAAAAGGAAGTAGTTGGATTGAAGGAGAAAACTGAGGATATATTTTGCAGACATATTGAGTTTGTAATTGTCACAAAATATGCTGTCACGTTTTCTCTGAGTTATGCCAGCAAAATTTGCAACAACATTAGTTGAAGTGAATACAGTATAAAATTTTCCAGGACACTTTTAACCGTTATGTAGGCTAATGCACTTTTTGTTTTTATATTTATTTTTTTAAGAATCTAGGCTAATGCACTAAGTAGGACTGTAATGTAGGATAAGCAAGGCATTAGTTGGGGGAGAACAATAAATGATGAGATAATTATTAAACGTTTAATGACTCATGTGTGAGGGTAGTTAAAAAACATTATTAATTTTGTGTTGAGTGCATAAACCTTAAGCTGTGTAGAGTAGAAACAATTTTACGGTTTATAGACTCACAAGCTTAACGTTCACCGTAAATACTCCGAGCCACCAGACCATGTAGTACCCCGAGCCACCGGACTATATAGTACTCACAATCTTGACGTGCACCCTAAATCAATTTTTTTTTTAATTATATTTTAAATCTCACGGTAGAAAGCCTAATTTTAACTCTCTTTAGTTGGGTTTTGTCAAAATCCACTAAGCTCAATTATATAAATTTAACTAGGTTAGGTCCCGTGCCATGCACGGTTATTTTAATTACCCTATATTTTCTTTTGATAAATTAATTTTTTATAGCATAAAATATAAAATTGTTAATTGTCGAACAACATTGAAGTAACATAGAATATTTGACCAAGATCATATTCTTAAAAAAAAAAAATTTCATTAAAATTATATCTTCTTGAAAAAGATTATTTATTTCCTAATTATTCCGTAATTAATTATGTATCAACATAAAAATGGTAAGTATTATTGCTCATTTATATAGTTGAAAAAAAAAAGTTGACAAAAATAGACTTTTTTTTAAAATAACTTGCTTAAATTAAAATTTAATGATTAATCATTAAAAAAAATTATACTAAGGACACACCATAAATTGACACATGTCATTGCTGGTGTGTCTTTTAGTATATAGTTATTGAGTTATTGATTATTGATACCATTTTCTAACAAGCGTCAAATATTTTTAGATATCACAAAAGGAGTTGAAACCAATTTATAGAGTGTTAAGTTTTCCCGATATCATAATAGGAGTCAAAATCAATTCAGTCTCTCCAAATTTTCATAAAATCAATTCATAATTTGTCAAAAAATTTCGATACCACAATAGGAATCGAAATCATTTCATAGTGTGTCAATTCCCATTACGATCACAAACACTATTACAGTCGCCGACTTTAATCTCATTCCTCCAAAAAAAAAGAAAAAGAAAAAGAAAAAAATAAAATAAAAAAAATCCCTCTCTATCTTCTTCCTCTCTCTCTGGTACCTTCTTTTCTATCACAATCTGGAAAATCAAACACAGACGCCATGGATTCATCATCATTAAACTGGGAAGCTTTGGATTCTCTCGTCATCGAATTCGCCAAATCGGAAAACCTCTTCTTCGACAACGAAGACTCTTCTACTCTCTCTCCTCCTTCTTCTACTTCTTCTTCCTCTCTCTCTCCTCCACCTCCTTCTTCGTCTTCATCTTCATCTGAGTCGTATCGATCACGCCTCCTGATTCGTCGGATTCGCCGCCTGTTAGAGTCTGGTGATATTGACTCCGCTTTGGATCTTCTTCGTCTTCATACCCCTTCCATATTACATGATCTTCGCCTCCTTTTTTTGCCTTCAAAAGCAGGTTTCATTGTTATTCCTTTTTTGTTTGTTTTAATTTTGTAATTTATCAAATTATTAGGTTTTTGCTGGAATTTTTGATTGATTTTGATTTTTGTTTTTCATTTTGCAGAAATTTATTGAGTTGTTGAGAAGAGGAACTCCAGAGGATCGCGATTCTGCTATTGAATGCTTGCGCACTTCTCTCGCTCCTTGCGCCCTTGATGCTTATCCTGTATGAACTTTGAACCGCATTATTTTTATTTTATTATTTTATTTAATTTTTTCTGTGAATTTATTGACGGTTGGATTGTTTGTTGTTTTGAAGGAAGCATATGAGGAGTTTAAGCATATTCTTCTAGCCCTAATTTATGATAAAGATGACGTCAATTCACCTATTGCTAGTGAGGTATTTTAACTAATCATTCTTTAATATTGATTAATGTAGTCGATTATCAGTCTCTAATGTTAATTGATATAGTTGATTTCGATTTGCAATATATTTTCTGGTATTGTTTAGCATATCTATATCGAATTTAGTGAATATTTGCACTCTGATTTTTCCAATCTTATTAATATTATGTGATTAGTAACAGTAAGTTAGAGGAAGTGATGTATAAATATGAACTGTGGTAAGTGATTGGAAGCTGTGTAACATTGAATAGTTTGAGAACGATGCCATGAGTTTATTACCAGGAAGGAGTGGAATGGAGAATTTTCTTAGAAGTTAATGTGTAGTTCGAGCTAAGCATTCTGTACTAACAGACACTTCAATATGCGATAGCTTGAGAGTAAGAGTTTTTGTCCTTAATCCTCATTTCAGATAGGCTTGGGTATTTATCATTAGTAGTTTAACCCAAAAAAAAAAGTATTAATATTGGTATTGGCCACTGGGTAAGTGGGTAGTAACACTGATATGAAAAACTCTGCGTATCGCATTAGAATATACTTCGTATCAATCTTGAGATACATGCAAAGCCAAGCAGAACTAGTATGGTTTATCGTATATTTTTTTTTTAAATTTACCATGTTCCTGGTCCTGTACTTGTGACACAGATAACTTGTGTCCCAAAAGTTGAGCCTGTGAGTCAAACTATCAGAACCGATTAGTGTGGGGAACCTGTATATTTATTTTAGGACAGGAGGAGCAAGGAAGCGAGTACAAGACAAGTGGATAACTTAATGAAATAAGTTAAGCTTGATATAATTAGTATGAGGAGTGGAAATTCTCGAAGCATACACAATGGAAGCTTTGTCAAAGCACACACAATCGAAGCACATACAATGTTAAACGACAATACATATGTAATTATGATAAGGTTTGAGAATGTATAAGTTTATTAGTTGAGAAATGAAGAAAATAGACAAGTGAGTAGCCATTTCGGCTCAAAATGGCTTTATTTTGATGAATTAGACCCAAAATTTTAGAACTTGGCGATTTTTATGTAATTTCAAATGAAAAACACTTATAAATATTGATTATGAGTTCTATTGAGATGCAAGGAGTTTATAAGGTGAGAAATGAAGAAAATAGGCAAGTGAGTAGCCATTTCGGCTCAAAATGGCTTTATTTTGATGAATTGGACCCAAAACATTAGAACTAGGCGATTTTTATGTAATTTCAAATGACAAAAACTTATAAATATGTGATTATGAGTTGTTTTGAGATGAAAGGAGTTTATAAGTTGAGAAATGAAGAAAATAGGCAAGTGAGTAGCCATTTCGGCTCGAAGTGGCTTTATTTTGATGAAATGCGCCAAAATAATTAGAAATTTGCTTCTTTTATGCAATTTCAACTCACAATAACTTATACATATGTAATTATGATATGTTTTGAGAATGTATAAGTTTATTAGTTGAGAAATGAAGAAAATAGGCAAGTGAGTAGCCATTTCGGCTCAAAATGGCTTAATTTTTATGAATTGGACCCAAAACCTTAGAACTTGGCAATTTTTATGTAATTTCAAATGACAAACACTTATATATATCTAGTTTATCTGACTTCTTGATGTTTGAACCAATGATGAAGTATGTAAAGCTTGCCTAGGGAGTAGTAATGGTCATTCAACGTATGCATAAGGTATACAGTCCTGCAGCTGGGAATATTTCCCATTGAACATATTTGAGTGGCTTTGATTATGATAAGATGTTGTAGGGTTGTGGATGTATCTGGAGGGTAGTACTTGTGTTAAAGCACAGCTTTCACATGTAAATTGTCAATTTGGAATGCCCATTTTTATCTGGTGATTCAATTTTATAACCTTTTGATAATATTTTGAAAGTTTTGCAGCACCTTATTTTGTTATTTTGCGAAGGTGTGAAAGATTGTAAACCTTATACAGACTAAAATATGAAATTTAAGTTTTCGTAAATGTGAATTTTAGTTTTATGCTATATAGTACCACAAGTAGCTTCTCATGTCATGGAAATTTGGCATAAACATAGACACGTCATGTAATGGCTTTTTTGATGAACAAGTTAATAATTTTATTTTTGTGAAGTGCCCTATTTGCCGTGGAATGGCTTTGATTAATTCCAAAAAATTTACTTCAGGATCTGGCTTCTGCCTTCTGGTTATTTTTGAAACTGTGTTCGCTGTGTTGTATATATGTTTAATTATTTTTGTCGGATTACTATGCTACATTTTTTTTTTTTTTTTAACATTTGGTACCCTTTTCAACTTTCCCTCTTACAGAATCATGCTCACTATATTTATTTCCGTATATATGCTCACCATCCTCCAGCTAATATGTTATTGCATCACGAAGATCAATCTGCCCATTTTATCTTAGCATAGAACCAATAAGTAAATGAGCAACTACATAATTTTTCTCAGAAGCTCATGCAAATTACCATTCAGGGTTCTGCACCTTCATCCCCTACTTACCATATTGGGTTGAATCGACATGTAATTCTGTTTTTTCTGAAATAATTAATTTCATAAAACAGCTTTAGGTTTCTACTTCTTTCTAAGTCAAGTTCTTGTTCATCTTTTAATACATGCATAATAGTCCTTGCCTTGGCGTTCTGTGCTGCAGTGGTCTGAAAGACGAAGATTTGAAATTGCTGGATTGATGTCCTCTATTCTTAGAGCACACCTTCAGGCACATGATCCCTTGTTCTCAATGACATTGAGATATCTCATAAGGTTTTTCTCCCTTCCCATCCTTTTCTGATTCTATTACATTGATTTTTTGTGCTCTCATAAAAGTAGTAATGAATTCATTAATTGTTTGTGTCTGTTGCTAATATTCTTGGTCCTTTCATAATAATTGAGATCAGCTTGCACAAGGAGTTCTGTCTTCGACAAGGAGTCCCCTCACCAATCTCGGACCTGACTGAAAGGTTGCTTCTTGAGGAAAGAGATGCCCCAGCAACACTTCAAGAGTCGGCTTCTGGAGTGCCTATATTACAGGAAGTGAGATTCTCAAGCTATCATTCTTCCTATTTCTGTGTGCTGAATAAAGTGATGATGTGGTCAAGTGGTTAAAAAATACACTGAAACTAAAAGGATATTTGATGGAACACCTTCAATAATCATTGGTTTTTCTTGTTGCACCTTTCATTTCAGGAGGATGTACAAGCCCTAGCTCATGCTGTTCAGCTTACCAGACAGGGGGCAGTTGAAAGCTTGAAATTCACAAAGGGTGACTTAGTTCAGGCTTTAAAGGTTATCATAACTCATTAGCCTTTACTTCTTATCAAAAAAGTAAAAATAAAAACTCATTATCCTTTACTCTCTACATATTCTGTTCTTATGTTTGATATGTTTACATTAAATGGCATTCATTTTTTTTTTCCTGTTATCTTTAGGATTAGGTCTGAGGGATCTCATTTTTAACTTTCAAGTTTCAACTGTATGACCATGTATATACCATATTATACTTATCCTTAGAAAAACGATGTCAGGTTATGTATGTAATAATTGATGCATGATCTTGCATGTTTAGATTCCATAATCTAGAACTGTTAAGATATGATTATTGTGAATTCACTTTATGAAGGAGCTTGATCTAACTTTTCTCTTAGCTTCAGAATTTTTAGCCTTTTGCACTATCGTTCAAAAAGTTGTATTTTTATACCACATGTTTACATTATTTGAAAATTTCCTACCCTTCAGACCTGCTATAGAATTTCCTGTTCATGTCCAAACAAGTTAATGTAGTAGGGAAAAGTAGCATGGTGGTTAGGCATGCTGATCCATTCTTCGGTTTTTCATTAGTAAATTCTCCCTCCGTTTCAATATGGTAGTCCCATATGAAATCAATCACATAAAATAAGAATAGGAGAATATTTGGAATCTAGCATTAAAGTAAAAAAAACAATTCATAAATAGTTTTGCATTAGTTAATTTTTTTTTTGATTTTTTAGGAAAGCATTAGCTATAATTGCATAAATCAAGGGAGTAATTTCTTTATTTAGAGTCATGTCATTAGCTCACAATCAATTAATCTAACCAACCAATCAGAATTTAATATGTATAAAATAGGAAATAAAAAACTAACTTAAAAGTGGAATACATTTAATATGGGTAAATCTTTTTGAAACGCCCAAAATAGTAAATGGGACTAACAAATAGTATATACTCCCTCCGTTTCATAATGTTAGTCCCATATAGAATCAATCACATAAAATAAGAAAACAAATATATTTGGAATCTAACATTAAATTACAACATAATTAATAATTAGTTTACCTTATTTAACTTTTTTGATTTTTTATTAGGAAAGCACAAGTCATAATTGCATAATTTAAGGTAAAAATTTCCTTATTTAGAGTTATGTCATTAATCCACAATCAATTAATTCCAAAAAAAATCAAGATATAAATGAAATATATTCAATATGGGTAGATCTTTTTGAAACGCCCAAAATAGTATATGGGACTAACATTATGAAACGGAGGGAGTATTATTTTTCAATATATTGTATTATTAATGGCTTTGCTTGTTATATCATACTGATTTGTACGATAGTTGAAATTGTGATGTATAATCAGTATATAATCAGCTAAGTATTATATTTATTTATTTTATGTAGAATGAATTATGCCGCATGAGATTAAATGAATCTATTCTGGATGAGCTCGTCCGGGAATATTGTGTTTACAGGGGTATTGTTGCTCCTGGCGTGCCTTCCTCTGGTATGCTCACCCTTTACAATATTTCAGTTTCCCCTCCCTACTTTCAAATGTGAATATCTTTATATTCATTTCAGTTATTTTCCCATCCTCTTTTCTTGGGCAGGTTCTACATTGCCGGTTGACACTGGTCATTTGAAAGCTAATCAACTAAATGCTACTGGTTTGTCATTAGATGGTTCCCATGATCAGGATTGCGGAAATAGTAAAAGTTCAGATGATGGATCTTCCATTGTTAATGCTCATGTTGATGGTGCTGAAATAAGCACAGTCATGATTAGGATGCAAGATACTGATGTGGAGATGCGATTCCCTTGTGAGAGTACAAGTAACCATGATGATTGTAGCACTAGCAACACTCATCCAACTATGAACGTGAAGGTTTGCCAGAGAAATAAAAGTCATGCAGTTGGCGAAGGGAGAAGACGCAAAAGATGGAGGGAAAGAAGTGACGATCCTTATTTTCCTGCTGGCATACTATCTAATGAGAGCAATAAGCGCGAGGTTAGTAAAGTCCTTTTGAAGGAGATATGAACACATCTTTGGTAGCTATGCCTATTCCTGTAGCTAATTATTTAAAGTGATGATATTGTAGGGCTCTGAAAAAAATAGCCCTTCTGACTCTACATATAAGGAGGATAGATGTGAGACTGTTTTGAGCATTAAAGATTTAGCTGATCGAGGTATGGCTGCTGAGGTTGTCAAAGAAGTGGAAGCATTGGACCCTGAATTTTTTGGGCATAATTCTTTGTTGCTTTTCCAACTGAAGCAGGTAATGATACTTCTTTTTTCTCATGAATGTGCTGTTGATGCCAAAGCCAAAGCTTTCATTCTTCAAGAGAGATTACTCACTTGGCTTCTTGCTGTATTCAGGTTGAGTTTCTGAAACTAGTTGATTCTGGAGATTATTCTGGTGCTCTGAAGGTTGCTTGTTCTCATTTGGGCCCTTTAGCAGCCAACAATCATGACTTGCTAAAACCCTTAAAAGAGACACTATTAGCTTTGCTCAGGCCTAATGAAGTTGATTTCAAGAGAGATTTACCATTGCATGCTTTGGCTAGTTCCCTTCAGGTAGAATGCACTTTTTATTTATTTATTTATTTTATTAATAAACTAGTTTTTAGCTCAGGCGATTGGTCAATTTTAAATTTAATACAAAGTATAAATTTTTAAGTAGATAAAGGTGACCTACTGACCTTATATACATCCTCTGTTTTCTTAATATTGCAGTAGTTTGACCGGAGCTTTTGTCAATGTTCATCTTTTTGTCATTATTTGATTGCTGTCATTTGGATCATAATTGAAACTTCTGACTGATTATATATTGCTAACATTCTTACTTCGTCTGCAAATTTAAAAATATAAATTCCAATCTTGTAAAGATTCGGTTTTAAGACTGATGTTTCAATGTAGGTTGCAATTGGTAGGAGGCTTGGCATTGAAGAACCACAGCTTATGAAAGTTATGCAAGCAACCCTGCATTCACATACTGAGTGGTTTAATCTTCAAATGTGCAAAGATCGCTTTGAATCATTTTTGAAGATTGATGCCTTGAAAGAAGTCAATAGCCTGTTGCTGGCTGATGCTGTTTCTAAATCCCATTTATGTGCACAGACTTATGGATCTTCCCAAATTACAATTTCATCTAGTAGTGCGATCCCGGAAGATAGTAACAGTCCAACTCAAGTGTCATCTCGAGAAGTTTGCGATGAAGGTGCAATCCTCAAAGTCATGGTGAGTCATAATTCCTGCTGTAAGAAATTAAAGTACTTTTGGTATGAATTCATATTTTGTGTCATTAAATTGTATCTGTAATTAACCTGTTTCTGATTCACCAATTAGGTGTTGCATGATGTATGAGTAGTTTCTAATCAATATTCCAATTTTTATGCAGGAATTTCTTGCTCTCCCTAGGGCTGATGCCATCCATTTGTTGGCACAATGTAATGGAAATGCTGAGACTGCTATTCAACATATATTCGGAGAAATTTGATGAGAGTTATAACCATCAGTGTGACATCAACGATATTTATTTGTTGCTTGCAGCATTGGTGGTTTCTTGAGTTTGCATCTTGTAGATACACGGTGGTTTCTTCTGTATATCCCTACCCTTGGTGGGTTTTTCTAATTTATTTATTCGTTCCTTCAATTCTTTCATGTCCATATACTGCTCTAGTTGAACCATTATTTATAGTCTTGACAGATTTTATTAAATTGGTTAGCAATGTCATAATATCGGGTTGCTGGAAATCAAAGGATGCCTAGCTTTGGTAACGCCTCTCTTTGCCTCTCCAACTAAGTTAAACTCTGGCTTCTATGTGCAATATTTGATTATCTATGTGTTTTCAGTAAACATCACATGGTATGAAACTACGAAGTATGTTACTTCTGGGTTCATTGTGCAATTTGATCTAAAGGGTGTTCAAAGTCATGTGGTGAGCCACCGTGTATCTACAAGAAATTAAAGATATGATGCCTACATAAATCTCTAATTGTCTAGGGATAGGAAAAATAAATGAATATCCAACAAGGTAATAGACTGTAGTCTCCAAGTTTTTCTTGTTCTCATGGCAAGTATAATGCACTCGAGTTTATTTATGTTAGTATACCAACATACATATGAGTGTAATGAAAAAGACAGGGAAACACTTATATTCGGGGTTGCACTTGATTGACTATGTACACAGGTATGAATTGCAGACCAAAATTCTTGATTTGAATGCCTTCAGTGTATTAGTATTTCTTCCATCAAGTGGAGACTTTGCCCAAGCGATATTTTCTTTCGTCTGAGAGTTGTTTTGCGAACCTGTTTTTGGATTATGAGTGATTAGGACAGTCATCTTGTAGAATAGAGAATTTTATTTTCATTGACAATTTGTAAGTAGTTGTACACCAGGTATTTTTAAAGGAACCTACCTTTGGAGAGCAGCTGCATTGGTGCCCAGGTGTGGAACTTCTCTCAGTTGTCCAGTTTCCGGATCTACCCGGCTGGCTGGTTTGCGGAGTAACTGTTGAGCAATTTTCACAAGATTTCCCATATTCTTCTCTGTCGATACGTCCATTGAAGCAGCTGCTCCTGTTAAGCTGTCATCCTGTTTGATTCCCAAATTAAAATACACCAGTTCATTATAAACAGAGTACTACCTTTTACATTAACATCTATGTATCAAATGATACTATTATGTTACACTAATCATATAATAATGGAGGAAATTACTGGAGACTTACTTGAAGACGAAGGTAGTTGTCCTGAGAACGAAAGGATTGGAAAACAGTACTGTTCTGGTAATCAACCATGTCAGCTCCAGCTTCATAAAAAGCTTGAATAATTGGAGATGATCCTTTGTCAAATAGCCAAGACAAAAGCCCCCACTTTGCAGTTGTTTTAGCGTTGTACTTTTGCTCACTCCTTCCTGATCCTGTTCCTATCGATAAAACCAGTAATCTATCATGGATGCTTCCACAACCTGGATTTTCCTTCATCATCTGCTTCGTAACTTCGTTAATTGCTAGGAATGTCTGTCCAACAAAAACAAAACAAATAGGTTTCCCTTCGTTATTTGTTTGGTTTATTTTCCACTCGAAAAATTGATTGATTCTTCCTTGCAATATGATTTAAGTTGACATTTTATTTGAATGAAGAAAATAGCTAGTTATTGATTGCTGAACATTACCGGATTAGTGCTCACGATTCCTCCATCGATGAGGTTGAAGTCCCTAGTCTTTCCATCTTCATATACGTTTTGGAAATAATAGGGCGGAAGAACAGTTGGAGCAGCTGATGTTCCTAAACATATATCTGACAGTTTTGCATCCAGTTCTGGGTAACTCGGAACCTGCATAATTCAATGATGAATGAAAGGGTTTGAATGCTTTAATTTTGAGTCTTTTCATCATCCATTTCTTGTTAAATGCATAACTGGAAAACTTGATTTGTCTTTGAATAAGTGACCAAGTTCTTAACTTTAACCTAACATTTTACTGCTAATATTCTTTACTTTCATTTCTAATTGTTTTTTTTTTTTTTTTTATAAGTTCTTTTTACTTTTACTTTATTCTTCCATAATCTAAAAGATTTTTGTGGAACAAAGGGCAATGAATGGATCGAAAATGTTCATTAGCAAAGAGCCAAAGACATATTATTGAAGAAAAGTTGATAGTTTACTAGTATTAACCTTGTAGGAAGAAAATATAACAGGTTGGAGCATTTTGATGTCAAAAGTAGGAATGACAACGTTTGTTAATGTGTGATGCAACCTCGTCGCTCTCAATTTCTCCCTCATTGTTTGGTGTAGATGCTTGCCATTGTATTTAGGCCCTGTCATAGCTTTGACTAAGCTTGTAACCTTAGCAAGTGGCCCCCTACATCCATTATATGGAGAAAATTAGGGTATGATAGAATTACAATTATGAAACTATTAATCTTGTTGACAGCAAGCGTAATTTCTAAAAACTATAAAGAGGTTAAAGACACGTGATTTTGTATTAAAGCGTAGTTTAGTTTAGTTTCTAATTTTCTTCTATCATAAAATATTCAATTCAGTTTAACTCTAATTAGTTCAGTTCACTTCGAGTAAATATAAACAGGCCCATACTGTGTAAACTTTTTGCCTAGCTAATCAAGGACATACCTTAAGTTGTTATTTTGATTTATTTTTAGGGTAATGCTATACATAGCCCTTAGGGCTATATATAAGCATTGAATTTACTCTTGGAAAATGTATAAAGTTAGGAATTCATGACAAAAACACGAACAAATCGGTGTAATTAGTGTGTTTTTGTCATGATTTTCTAAATTTAAACAATTTTCAAGAGTAAATTAAATGCTTATATGTAGCCCTTAGGGCTATGTATAGCATTTTCCTTATTTTTATATTGTCAATATCATTTTATTAAAAATGTAGGAGTATTACTACATATAGTACGAACTATTATATACAAATAATAAACAAACCTTTTAAGGATGTCTGGATGTGGTCGTGCAAACAAGATGTAATTGCATTTTACTTGTATAAAATATAAATAAGATTCATATACACAGTCCACGCAACAAACTGTACGACAAAGATGTTCCAGCAAGAAATACTGAGAAAATCAATGTGAAGAAGGAGCCAATTCAAAGTGGAAAAAAGAAACAAGAAATACATACACCTTCACTATGTTGGCCTCTTAGCTGTATAATGAATCTAAACTCAGTCATTAAAATTTGATTACTTCATCTCAAACATTCCTTTGTTTTAGTGAGTGTATACAACTATACATTCTACTAAGGAGTCACAATACCAAGTCAGTGATGTTGATGGAATTCGATCTCATGTCATAGCTATTAATCGTATCTCCTAAAATTTTACTCCTTACCAACTAAACTTTCGTGGTAATGCAGTAATGCAAGTTGTTGAGCATATATATATACACATTTATTTCGAAGTAAAATCTGTAACAAATATGATGCTCTATCAAATTCATTCATCACATATATCTGCACAAAAGTTGTTTGAAATACCTTTCCTGTGGAAAAATTTTAGGACCATGCTCGAGATAAAAAGTTGTAATATCTTCGGCAGCATAAAGAGGACGATTATAGTCATCTGGTGCAGTTAACATGGCCGTTATTAACCCACCCGTGCTCGTTCCTGCTATCACATCAAAATAATCTGCTAGCCTTGCATCCTTTCCATCGGACTCCTACATTTTAATTAAATTCAGTATCACATATTCACATTTTATTTCAATTCAATTTACCCCGTATCAATGTATATTGTACGTAGTACCTATGCTTCTATAAATATTATTCTCCAAGTTTACAAGATTTTATTATTGTACAACATTTTAGCTAGCTAGTTCAAGTTAATTAACGTGTGTATATTTGGTAGACAATGTGTGTGAACTTGAATTAATTAACGGATATGTGTTACAGTAGTAAATGGAAAAATAGATCGATGGATGACTAGTCGATAAGTAGCTATGTATGTAATGTATGTACATACCTGAAGAAGTTGTTCGAGGAAAGAAAGAATGACAGCAGGAATAATCCCTCGAATGCCACCACCATCGATGCTAAGAATAGTCACCAACTTCTTCCTGTTATAGTAGCTAAAGGATGGAGGAGACCCTTCTAGATCCGCCATTCGAATTCGAAGAAGAGAGCTTGAGAGAAGGCAGACACAACGTAGTAACACCTCTGAAATGTATTTTTCTTTTTAGAAAAGCCTTAATTGGATCGTAAGAGTTTTATAATTGACATTATTGCGTCTTACATTCTTTTATTCCTATTTATTTAATGTATTAGAATGGTATGCTAATTAAATTATACAAGTAATTAAGTTTAATAAGAGGGGTTATTGGATGCAACTATGATATATACAGAGGGTTTATGACTAAATTATGGATTATACAAGTATATGCTTATCCCACACAGCTGGTATCATAGGCCTTTTCAAATATGGAAATTCTTTATCATATATAGAATATTCATTTTAGAGTAAAGGGGAACGACAAGGAGAGAAAAAAAAGTTGAATTTAATTATAATTTGGCGAAAACTTGTTAAAACAATGTATAAATAATTAAGGTCCATAATTAACCGCGTGTTTTGTATGCGGCTGGTCACATCATGTGGCATGTTGTAAAAAAACAAATTAAAGTAGCCCTGATAACACTGTTCGAGTGAGTAACCCCTTTAATTTTGACTGAGTAATCTCTATAACATTGACATAGTAATCCCTGTAACACTAACAAAGTAATCCCATGATAATTGACTTGTCAGCCACATATAAGAATTTGTGCATAAATAATACATAACTAATAGTGTAAAATTAAAAAATTTTGTTAGAAAGGTATCCTTCAATTTATGTATCAATTTAAATTTTGGTGCTATCCTATTTCATGTTCATTCTGAAAAGTTGCACATTCTTCACTATATTATTGCTTGCTTTTGCATGCCGGACTTGAATTAGGGCTTTATTAATATCAACTCCAATTATGAGATTAATTACGGTTGCACACAAAATTATGATAATATTCCGTACTATGTATACTCCATACATGTATCCCTAATTTTCTACCTCGCCCGTTCAATTTGATTTAATTTTCAAGATGCATCTTAGGGCCTGTTCATATTTACTGAACTGAGCTGAGCTGAAATGAACTGAACTAAGCTGAAATGAATATTTTATAAGAGAGGGAAATTAAGAGCTGAACTGAACTGAACTCAGCTGAACTGAACTAAACTGAACTTATTAATTAGTGATTTTTAACTACGGATTAATGATCTTTGATTATTTATTACTATACATATGTGTATATACAAATGTACATATTATTATTATTATTATTATTATTATTAATTATTGATTATTATTATTATTATTATTATTATTATTATTATTATTGTTATTATTATTATTATTATTGTTATTATTATTATTATTATTATTATTATTATTATTACTATTATTATTATTATTATTATTATTATTATTATTATTATTATTCTTGTTGTTGTTGTTGTCGTCGTCGTCGTTGTAATAAGAGTTTAAAAGAATGAAATTTGGCTTTATATCATTAGTAATATCATTAGACGTAAATTAAGCGCTGAACTGAACTGAACTGAACTGAACTGAGCTGAACTGAACTGAACTAAATTTCAACGGAGGAGAACATGCCCTGAACTGAACTAATTGGAGCTGAACTGAACTGAATTGATTGGAGCTGAACTGAACTGAACTGAAGTGAAAATAAGTAAATATGAACAGGCCCTTATATGTGATATCATAGCTTAAATATTTTCAATTCTATATTCACAAAATTTTTAAAATATTGATATTTCAAAATAGACGTTACATTATAACGATTCCACTTGGACTATATTGTCACAATATATTTCTACACACCTTTATGTTTAATTTGAACCCATGCAACTCTTGGCTACAAACATTCATAGGATGACAAGATCGGAACATACATACAACAAAACATGAAATCGTACTTTGGCTAACAAATTAAAATAAAATAAAATAAAAACTGTGTTCATACATTTTTTTTGGTTTTGGGAATAAGAGATATAATAAGTGAATTGCTAAATACCACCAATATTTTTTATCAAACCGCCAACAAAAGTGATGAAGGGACAAAACTACCCTTACTCATCCCCACTTTGCTTTCTCTCTCTTAAGTGCATCAATCCTCAAACTCAACCGTCAACCACCACAAAAGCAACCATCATTGCCACCACCACTCATGCCTCCACAACCACCACCATGCCACCATGACCACAACCACCACCATCACTGCCCGCAACCTCCAAGAGGTACCAGTTTTTTTGTTTAATTTTTTTTTGTTGCCGAAATTCCCAAAGAACCAGCAGCAACAACCATTGAAGAAACAACCCACCACCTACCCTCGTCGGTAGGAAGGTGGTGGTTTCCTTTTAAAATCAGCAACCAGCACAACCGACACGCAAAACTGGTCACCCGGGACAGTAACCGGTTTCCAAAGTCGGTTGACCATGGTAACCGGCGTGCAAAACCGGTCACCCATGACGGTAACCGGTTTCGAACGCCGGTTACCATGGTCAACCGACTCTGTAATTCGGTTACTCTCTCGGGTGACCGGTTGTGTTGGTTGCCGGAGATTGTTAAAAAAAATCGAGTGAGATGACAAACTGGTATTTCCGACCACCATGATGCCATTTAATCACCTCCAATCCTTGCTTCCGCGGTCCTTCTACCTCCGGCAAACAACCGCTGCTTCCCTTCACCTCCGACGTACAGCCGCTGTTGTGGTTGGGAAGTGGTGGTTGACTTGCACCCCTAATGAGAGAGAAACAATAAAAGAGAAAGAGGAAGATGGAGGTGGGAATATAGTAAGGGTATTGGTGTCCATTCACCTTAAATGTTGGCGGTTTTGATAAATATTGTTGGCGGTATTTAACACCCCCTATAATAATCCACACCGGTACACTCTTTTAGTCTTTTACAAAGTATTACAGAAATTGACTGTTGACAGTGTATACTAACAAACCTATTGATAATATAATAACCTTAGTTTTTCATACTATATCTAAATCACAAATGGTGTATAATATAAGCGAATACAAATGTGAAATGTATCACTCATTTCGGCAAATCTCAGGTTGTTCCCGCCTTCTCTTTTCGTCGGAAAGTTGTTTTGCAAACCTGTTAATAAATGTAATTAACTAAATGATTAGTAATTTTATGAGGCCTAACTAAACTTGCATGGAGTGTTCAATTCGTTTATTATTCGTGATACATACATATTATGATATTAACAAGTATCATTAATAGTTAATAATACTCCGTTTAAAAAAAGTTTATGTTAACTAACAATTTAAAATGATGTATACCTTATCAAGGCCTCTTCATTGGTTCCACCATTAGGAATAGGTTGATAAATACCCGTATCAAAATTAATCCTTGAAACAGGTTTCTTTAAGAGTGCCTTTCCTATTTTCACAAGATTTTCCAAAATTTTCTTGGTTGCTGCATCCGCTTTTGTTGCTAATCCTGTAAGCGTATTATCCTACAATTTCCCAATTTAGAATGTTGTTAGGGTACCTTGCATATACGAATAATTGCAATACGTCGTGTACGTTAACTATCCATAATAGATGTACAAGTACAAACAAAATAAGATTGAACTGTTTTATTGATCTTGATTTCATCTATGAAAGAATGGACTCATAGACAGACTTTATATATTGTAATACTTTCTCCGTTATTAAAAAATAGTTGTATCATTTTCACTTTATGCAGCTCCCTAATTAATGTTAAAATGGTCCGGATTAGAAAAAGTGTGTAGGAACTTACTTGGATACGAAGGTTGTTTGGGTCCAATTTAGTCAAAGTTGGGCCTGAGCACTAAATGATCCAATTAAAAGCCCAAGGTCAAGGTTCAACTCTCCAATTGCTCAAAAGTCAAAAGTCAGCCCACAAAGTAAGCCAATTGGGCTAAAGCCCAACCTCTCCAAGTATGATGAGGTATAAAAGCCATCATATTAACACATTCAAAAGGACATCACATATGATCATTGACATTCCAATTCATATGCTCATTCTTGCATTCAGAAATATTCCACAAAAGCCTCAAGCTACAAACTCTCTTGCATAGTGTCTTCCTTCTACACATTGTACTGACTTTAGCATCGGAGGGGCCTTCCTCGGAAACACCCCCGAGGCTAGTTTACGTGTGTTCACTGTGCAGGAAACCTTCGGCCCAACACAACTTGGATCGAATCCAGTCTTCTCCATTTCAGTGGACCTTCGGCAAGGTCCCATTGTTTTCAACCGAAACAATTTGGCGCCGTCTGTGGGGAAGACTTTCAAAAATCTTTAAGCCAAATTCCTAACCAAGATCATCTTGCAATTATCTTAGCAGCCATGGCTAAGAACCGCAAGAGCAAAAGCCTCCGTCAAGGAGCGGGCGAAAAGCCTAAAACCCCTACACCATCGCCCTCGCCGGACCGGAACTCTCCCAAGGGTGCCGGCTCGGGGGGAGGATCACACAAGGAGGATTCCCTATCTCCTATAATGCATGACTCTCAATATAGGCCGGACCACTCTCGGTCTAGCAGGGGTCAGTCTGATCATAGGACATATTCAGTGTCCCAAAGCCAACCATCGGCTGCACGGCCTCATTACCACCCTCGGCCGGGGACCCCTTTGACGGGGCCCAGTTCGGAAGAGGTGGCAAGAGCGCTGGCAGTACTCATGGAGGCAATGAGGGCACAGAATATGCCACCGCCTCGTGATCAAACTCCTCCGCATACCCGGCATCAGCGGAGGAAGTTAGACCATGACGGTGGGAAGCTTCCTTCCTTCCGGGAACTGGAAGAGTGGGAGGAGGATTCTTGGAAAAATGAAAAACAGAGGAAGAAGAACTCTCAATTATTTAAAGGATCCTCATCCTCAAGACCAGCAGCGCATAAGAGCAGCAGCTCAGCTTCTCGGCCAGAATCTACTCGCCGGGAACCCGAGACTGCTCGCAGAAGCGTCCTTGACCGACTCGGCGGCCAGGAACCGAGCGTGCGTAGTCGCCTCTCGTTCCCTGCAGCCGAGGCCCAGACTTCCCAGCCAGGGACGAAAACCACTCCTACCTCTCTAAGAGGGCGGAGCGCGGTCCCTTCGGCCAGGAACAAGGGCAAGGCCATTATGCTTCCCGCTAGTTCACCATTCGAGCAATGGATACTGGAAGAGCGCGTACCCACGGTTAAAATACCGTCGCATATCACATATGACGGGACCACGGATCCGAAGGACCACGTGGCCTCGTATGAGACTCATATGCATCTTTGCCCCAGATCCGAGGCGACTTGGTGCAAATATTTCCCAACCACTCTCAAGGGGGTCGCGCAAGCGTGGATCTCCAAGGGAGTAAGGCAAGGCTCCATAACAGGTTGGGATGATCTGTCCTCCAAGTTCAGGAGCAAGTTTTCCACGGCAAACCGCCGAGAAAAGACTACCGCAGAGCTCATGGGTCTGCAACAGGGGGAAACCGAAAGCCTCCGAGACTACCTGACCCGTTTCAGTAACGAGTCATCAAGCGTCTCTCAGCTGGACCAGGGGCTAGCTGTTTTTGCAATGCAGAATGGCCTTCAGCCAGGAAAATTCCTAGACTTCATGGTCATGCATACCCCGCAGACCTTGGAGGAAGCTCTTAGTGCTTCGGATAAGTTCATCCGAGCCGAAGAATGGAATAAAGCAAAAACCCAACCTCAATCCGGGGGAGGGAAACAGAGGCAAATACCCTTGTCTGAAGGCCAAGGCCATAAGGCAAAGGGAAAATCAAAGGCCTCGGAGCCATCTTCGGCCAGCGACCTAAAGAAGGACAGGTTTGCCTCATACACAGGCAGATACGAGTCCTACACTCCGCTCTCTCTTCCACGCGCCAAAATTTACAGTGTGACGAAGGAGGAGCAGAGTTACCGAAAGCCGAGACCACTCCCAGAGTGGTATCAGCGAAAAAATAAAAATCAGTGGTGTGAGTTCCACGAGTCTTCGGGCCACAACACTGAAGAGTGTATCCAGCTGAAGGACCAGATAGAGGACATGGTCCGGAAGGGATACTTGAAAAAATACATCGCGGATCACCGCGAGAAAAAAGAATCCGAGAGGCTAGCAAAGGACCCTCGGCAGGACCTTGATTTCCCCCGGAAAAACAGTAAAAAACCAGAGGGGAAATTCCCTCCGATCAATGTTATCTCGGGAGGAATATACTCTCGGAGGGAGCACAAGCGTCACCTTAGAGCTTTGACTCACCAGGTGAACAACGCTGACATTCAATCTCCCCAGTCGCCGGTGCCGAACATGACGTTCACAGCCGCCGACTGCCGGGGGATTACGTTCCCTCACGAGGATCCGTTGGTGATCATCGCCACGGTGGCCAACCACGACGTCAGTAAGGTCCTTGTTGACGGTGGCAGCGGAGCAAACATTCTGTTCCGAAAGGCCTACAACCAAATTAAGCTGAAGCCCAAGCACCTTACGCCGGTACCCTATCCGGTATCCGGGTTCAATGGGGCTTCAACTTATCCAGATGGGAAGGTGACACTTCCTGTCACCATCGGTTGCGATGAGGCAGCCCGGAACGTCATGATTGAGTTTTTGGTCATCGACGCTCCTTCAGTGTACAACGTGATTTTGGGGAGACCCATAATTCACGAGATCCAAGGGGTCGTCTCAACTTATCATCAGCTGATGATTTATGTCTCAGACGCCGGCTTCCCCGAAAGGATACAGGGCAACCAAAAGGACGTCCGAAGGTGCAACTACCTCAAGCCATCCAGTAGTCGCCCAGATAACGACAAGGATGAGGAGGAGAAAGAAAAAGAAAGAGATCCAAGCACAAAAAAGCCGAAAGGCCTAAGTGCTTCGGCCCAAGGATCAGTGCCCAGAGAAAAAGGTCCCGAAAGGGAAAAGGTTGACTCTTCAGCTGGGCCGAAAGACTCAGAGAGCCAGCCGAAGAACGCAAAGACTGGGACACCTGCTGACATTGGCAGCAGACCAGATTCTGAAGAGTCCAGTCCCTCGGCAATGGACATGGACCAACAGACTGAAACAGTTGAGTTGGCCGAAGGAGATGCTGAGAAATGTGTAACAATCGGGATGGACCTTGATCCTAACACCCGTTGTGAACTTATTCAGCTCCTTCGGGATAACAGGGATGTGTTTGCTTTCTCGGCAGCTGATATGCCCGGGATAAGTTCAGACCTCATCTCCCATAAGCTTAATGTTGACCCAGCGTGTCGACCAGTTAAGCAAAAGAAGCGGAATTACTCCGCCAATAAGAACCGAGACATCGCAGCCGAAGTCAAAAAATTATTGGAGGCAGGGTTCATTGAACCTTGCCAATATCCGGAATGGCTGGCAAATGTGGTGATGGTTCAGAAGCCCAATGGTACCTGGAGGATGTGCGTTGATTTCACGGACCTAAATAAGGCTTGTCCAAAGGATTTCTATCCCTTGCCAAGAATCGATCAGCTAGTCGATTCGACAAGTGGCCATGCCTTGCTTAGTTTCATGGACGCATTCTCGGGGTATCATCAGATCTTTATGCACCCCGACGATCGAGCCAAGACAGCATTCGTCACGAACGCTGGGGTATATAATTACAAAATGATGCCCTTCGGATTGAAAAATGCGGGGGCAACCTATCAAAGGCTGGTGGATCAAGTTTTTGCCGATCAAAAGGGCCGAAACATGGAAGTCTATGTTGACGATTCAATCGTCAAAAGCAAAAAACTAGAGGACCATGTAAAGGACCTGGCTGAAACTTTCGCCACCTTGAGAAAGCATCAAATGAAGCTGAATCCGAAGAAGTGTGTCTTCGGCGTGAAGTCAGGGAAATTCCTGGGTTTCATGGTCAGCAAAAGGGGGATTGATGCCAATCCCTCTAAAGTCAAAGCGGCGCTCGACCTTCCTGAGCCGAAAACGAAGAGGGATGTTCAGCGGCTCACCGGAAGAATGGCAGCCCTTTCGAGGTTCATTTCCAGAGCTTCGGATAAGGGGTTACCCTTCTTCAAAGCCCTGAAACTCCCGAAAACAAAAGAGCTTGTTTGGGAGGAAGAGCAAAAAGACGCCTTTCAACAGCTTCGGGAGCATCTGGCTCAACTCCCAACGCTGGCTAGCCCAGTTGAAGGAGAAACTCTATACCTATATGTGGCCGTTAGCCCAGCCACCATCAGCGCAGTATTGCTGAGGGAAGAGAGTAAGAGTCAGCAACCGATTTATTTCGTCAGTCATACACTGACGGATGCCGAGACCCGCTATCCTCTACTCGAGAAAGTTGCTTTCGCGGTAGTGGTAGCTGCTCGGAAGCTGAGGCCCTATTTTGATTGCCATCAGATAGTGGTCTTAACTGATCAGCCGTTGGAAAAAGTTCTTGGCAAGGTTGAAAAATCCGGTAGGCTAGCCAAGTGGGCTTTTGAGCTCACCGAATTCAGCATCAGATACCGTCCGAGGGCTGCCATTAAGGCTCAAGCCCTGGCGGATTTCTTGGCCGAATGCTCATACCAAGAAGTGCTGGACAGTAACAAGAAAGTCTGGACCGTGTTTACGGATGGGTCTTCCACCGAAAACGGTTCGGGGGCAGGAGTAGTGATAACTTCTCCCGAGGGCAAATCCTTTGAGTATGCACTAAAATTTTCTTTTAAGGCCTCGAACAATGAAGCCGAATATGAGGCAGCAATCGCCGGCCTACAATTATGCATCTCCTTGGAAGCCGATCATGTCTGCTTAAAAACAGACTCTCAGCTAGTTGCATATCAGATCAGTGGCAGCTATGAGGCCAAAGAGCCCTCCATGATAGCTTATCTTGCCAAGATCAAATCAGTCATTGCAGAGCTGAAAACTTTTGAGGTTCAGCTGATCCCAAGGGGTCAGAATACTCAGGCCGATGCACTCTCCAAACTTGCTAGTTCATCTTTTACCGAGCTGAACAGGTCTGTATATGTAGAAGTGCGTCGAGTAAGAAGTGTCGACGAAGCACCTGAAGTGTGCTGCGCCGACCCAGAGCCTAGTTGGATGGAACCCATTTTAGCTTTTAAGCTTCGGGGAGAAACTCCTGAGGACAAAGCTTTGGCCTCCAAAATGAAGAGAACCAGCTCTAGGTTCATTGTCTTCAGGGGGGAACTTCTGAAAAAATCCTTCTCAGCCCCATTGCTGAAATGCGTGGGACCAACAGATGCAGATTATATCCTGCGGGAGATTCACCTCGGCATCTGTGGGAACCACATTGGGGGAAGAACCTTAGCCCACAAGGCACTGAGGGCTGGATATTACTGGCCCACCATGATCGCAGATGCTAAGGAGCTGGTTCGGAAATGCGAAAAATGTCAAAAATATGCTCCAGTTATCCATCAGCCAGCAAGGGATCTTCAGCCGATCCTTAATCCACTCCCGTTTGCCCAATGGGGACTGGATATACTGGGACCATTTCCAGAGGCTGTGTACCAGAAAAAATGGCTGATAGTTGGTGTCGACTACTTCAGTAAATGGATCGAGGCCGAAGCAGCCTCGAACATTACAGAGCAAACTGTCAGAAAATTTATCTGGCAGAATATCATCACTCGCTTTGGCATCCCGAGAGTATTTGTCTTCGATCATGGGAGGCAATTTGATAACTTACCGCTGAAGCGATACACAGATCAGTTCGGCATCAAACTGGCATACTCAGCAGTATGCCACCCGCAAAGTAACGGACAAGCCGAAGCAGCAAATAAACAGATCTTAAATGCCCTCAAGAAGAGGGTGGAAGATCAAAAGTCCAAATGGCTAGAGGAGCTCCCTGGAACCCTTTGGTCCCTTCGGACAACTGAAAAAGAGGCAACGGGCCACTCACCTTTTGAATTGGTGTATGGTGCCGAAGCCGTCCTTCCAGTGGAAATTGGCTCTGAGAGCCTTCGAGTGCACCATTTCTCGACTGAGAATGAGCGACTGATGAGGGAATCTCTCGATTTCCTCGACGAAGTAAGAGACTCAGCTCGAGATAAAATGGCGGCCTATAAGCAGAGAGTCAGCAAATTTTATAACCGAAGGGTCAATGCAAGGCCTCTCAAAATTGGAGATCTTGTCCTTCGGAATGCTGCTGCAGTTCAGAAAGGCCGAATCCATGGGAAGCTCTCAGCTACATGGGAGGGACCTTATGAAATTTACGATGAGCTTCAGCCAGGGACATACCGACTTCGGCAGTTGGATGGAACTGAGTTGAAGAATCACTGGAACGCTGATGTACTGAAAAAATACCATGTGTAAACCCTTCGGGGCAGAACAATCTTTGTAAGTACATTTTGAACTAATAAAAGGCCTTGGAGCCGCCATTTATATAAATATTTACAACTTTTTATCCTTTCAAAATTTTCTTTGTTCTATCTACTCTTTAAGGGTTTTTTATTCAGCCTCGTCTGAAGCCTTCGCCTTCGGGTAACTGGGTTTCAGATTGCTGACAAAACTCGTCTTTTTAAAGAACACTGGTCTTTCAGCTGAAGTCAAACTTCAGTAAGACTTGTTCTCCAAAGACATGAGTCCATGGACAATTCTGGGATATTGCCTTAACTGAGCCTTGTATCCCAGAGAGCCATTATCCGAAACATTGCCTTAAGTTGGCCCTGTGTTTCGGGTATCCATTTTTCAAAGATAGACAGAAAATCAAGGATAACAGCCTTTTTAAATCAGCCTCGTCTGAAACCTTCGCCTTCGGGTAACTGGGTTTCAGATGGCTTATAAAACTCAGTCTTTTTAAAGAACACTGGTCTTTCAGCTGAAATCAAACATCAGTAAGACCTGTTCTCCAAAGACATGAGTCCATGGACAATTCTGGGATATTGCCTTAACTGAGCCTTGTATCCCAGAGAGCCATTATCTGAAACATTGCCTTAAGTTGGCCCTGTGTTTCGGATATGCGTCTTCTTTAAGAACGCTGGTCTTTCAGCTGAAGTCAAACTTCAGTAAGACTTGTTCTAAGGAGGTTAGTCCCAGAAAGCTAATATCCCAAGCATTGCCTTCAGTTGGCCCTGTGTTTCGGATATCCAACTTTCAGACAGTCAATCTTCAGTAAGACTTGTATCCCAGAAGCATTGCCTTCAGTTGGCCCTGTGTTTCGGATACCCATTTTGAAGAAGTTCAGAAATTGCTTATTTAACTGAAGTCATACTTCAATTTCTGTGGGGGCAAGAAGCACTCAGTGCAACTATGTTCGGCAGAGTTGAAGAAAAGAAACAGTAAAGCATTCAAAAGTAAAGCAACTGAAGAAAAGAGCATTAGATTAATATTTCTCAAAAATTGAGCTACAAGTTCAATAATTCAGTATCGGCAGCCGCCCACAAGCGGAAAATAACAGCTGCCGAAATACGTACATAAGCAAAAAAATAAAACTGCTGTACGACAAGGCAAGCTGAAGCAAAAAACAAGGCAAAAAACTCAGAAAGCGGCAAGTCTAAAGTTAAGCGCATGATGAACCGCAAGATTCTGAAGACGACTGCCCGAGTTCCTATGCTTCAGCCGGAGGATCAGACTGATCAGCGTTGAGCCCCATGGTGGCCTCAGCCCCAGCAGCAGAAGAAGCGGGCTTTGCACTTTGCCGAGCCTCCCTTTCCCTCTGCTCAGCTTCCAACTCCAGTCTTTCAGCTTCCTCTTCGGCTTCCTCAGCCTTGAGAATTTCAGCTTCAGCTGGAGTTGCATACTTCATGTGAGGGTCTTCGGGATTCTGGACCCACTCAGCACATTTAGACCAGTCCAGTTTCGGCTCAGCATGAAGGCAGACTCTTCGGCATACTCGGAATCCGTTTCTGAAACCCATCTCATATTCCTCTTGGGTATAAACACGGACCTTGAGTAAAGCCTCAGCATCAGCCAGCTTCTTCTGGGTCTCCTCCAAGTCTTCCTTGGATTTCTTCAGCTCATCAGTGACTTGGGAGGAGGAACCTCTCAGCTCATTCAGCTCTTGCTGAATTTGGAAAGCCTTTGTCTGGGCCTGGGCCACTTCAACTTTCTGGATCAGCAATTGATCCTCAGCCTTTTGGAATTTAGCTCTTTGAGCTTCAGCAGCAGCAGCAGCCTCTGAGAGTTGGACGTCTTTGGCCAGGAGCAATTCTTCAGCAGCCATTCGGCTGGCTTCAAGAGCCTCTAGACGCTGCTGCACTTCAGCTTGTGCAGCAGTTCCTTCTTGAATTCGGCTCTCAATAGCAGCCTTGAATTTGGAGACGTCCACTCCCATATGCTCCTGGAGGAATTTTTCCCCTTCCATCAGTGGGGGAAAAACCTCCATCTCCATAGCATCGCAGAAGGTTTTCAGAGCTTCGGCAGCTTTTTTACCGTACTCCTCAACCTCCTGCTGCTTCTCTTCAGCTGCTGCTTGCTTCAGCTTAGCAAGCTTAACTTCCTCTTCAGCCACCTTCTTTTCGTGCACAGCAGCGTCTACCCTATCTTGTAGGGTATCAATCAGCTCTACAGTGAGAGTCTGATTGTGCACGAACTGAAAACAGGAAGACAAAAAAAAAATAATAAATAAAAAAAATATATATATGTAAAGAGCTGAATTTCGGAGGAAATGAAGGAAAATTACCTGCATCATCAGCAGTTGGTTAGACCTGGCTGGGTCAGGAACTGATCTACTGGATTCGCCCATCCCAGCAGTGGCCTTCAGCGACCAGATCCTTGCCCTGTCTACTTCGGACATGCCAGCAAAATTGCCGAAGTAGGCTGCAGCTCCTTCTCGGTTTTGACCCCATATGAGGTCCCAGATGTGATCTGGGATTGGAATTCGGGGGGCCGAGAAACCCATTTCTCCAGAATGCAGAGTCTGGAAAGAAGGGAAGGACGACGATGGAGCTTGATTAGCCTTGGTTGTCTCAGCATCGTCCTTCTCAGAGGAGTCAAGTACTATGACCTCCTCTTCTTCAGGGGTGAGGACGAAAGCCTCAACCTCTCTTGCGATATCTGCCGTGAAGCCTTCAGCACTTGACATCACGGCATCTTTATTTTCGTGCTCAGCAGCACTCTCCTTGATTTCTTCTTGGACCCCTCCCTTAGGTTCGGGAGTTCTCTGATCCACCTCCATCTCAGGAGGTGGCGGAGGGGTCTTTTGAGGAGATTGGGGTGTTGGCTGGGGAACCCTCGGCGATCCATTGCCTTCCTCAGGTTCCCTTATTGCGACGCCGATGGTCATCGGCCTCTGCTGAAAGTCATGAGGGCCGATGATGGCCATCCTTCGGCGCCTTTTCAGAAGAGGCTGCTCGTCCATATCTGAGTCTGAAGACTCTTGTATTTGATCTTCGGGACGAACAGGAGCTTTGCCTTCTCTGTGTCTGTTACTCTCTTCAGACTGTAACAGACAGGGGGGAAGAAGAGTGAATAAAAAAAAAAAAAAAAAAAATGAAAATGAAAATGAAAAGAAAAAAGTTGTCTGAAGCTCACCGAGGTTTTCAGCAAAGCCTCGTCTTCTTCAGCTGCTCTAGCTGCAGCTTCGGCCTCAGCAGCTCTGGAGGACCCTTCTCCTCCTTCGCAAGCCTCAAGTACCCGTGCAACCTCTTCGGCTGTGCGGGCAGCTTCAGCTTCTTCGTTCAGCAGCTGAAACCAAGGGTCTCTCTTCTTCCACCAAGGCTTCTGCCTCTGATACAGAGCAACAGCCTCAATTTGGAAGTGGGAAGAATCCAGATGAACTTCCCTATGCCTCGGCTCAGTGATAGACGGGGCCCGTTCAGTTACAACTCGCTCTCGGTTAACACCAAGACGAGCGTAGTTAATACCAACGTTGGTCTCGTCCCGCTCTGAAAAAAGGGAAAGGGAAAAAGTTTAGCTCAGATATGTTGGCACAGCATAAAAAAGCAAAGCGAGAGAAGAAAAAGAGGTAGTTAAAAGCCTCGGCCCCAGCCGAAGAAGCTTACCATCCTTAAACTTTCGGCTGAGGCCAACAGCTGCTAGCATATTCTCTTGGAAAACGTAATGCGTATCGGGGAGCCAAGTCTCCGGGATATGCTGCATTCGACCACTCCCCCCCGGGTTCGGCAGCTTGCCGAAGATATGTTGCTGATCCAGGTTCGGATCCGCCCCGTTATCTGCGGGGGACCTAGACTTCCCATTTCGGGATCAGGCTCAGCTAAGTACCGGGGAGCGCTGAAGACGCAAGGGTGGCCCGGATCTATGGGTGCCCTAACCCAAATCCATTGACCTCTCCAGTCCTTGTCTGAAGAGTCATTTGGCCACATGGTCAAGTATTGGGGCCGGGACTCAATCCGATACCACCCAGAACCATGGCTTCCGTGCCCACTCTGAATATTTGGCACTAGCCGATGGAGCTTTCTGAAGCAGTGCAGGTTCGGCACGTATTTGAAGAACTTGCAGACCCATAAGTATGTCATCACCCTTCGGATGCTGGTGGGGGTTAGCTGACATAGGGAAATGTTGTAATGGATCAGCAAGTCTCGGACGAAAACGTCCAAAGGGAACCTCAGCCCATACTGAAGCTGTCTCGTGTACACCCCCACATACCCCGGGGGTGGACGATGGATTCTATCGGATGCTGAGGGCATTCGGCACCAATATCCATCAGCTTCAAAAATGCCGTAGTGCAACTCAATTTGCTCAGCAAATCGATATTGATCGGCGTTCTCTACCCACCATGAGTAGGGGCGGTTCTTTATCATGGCCGAAGCGACTTCGGCATTCTCCCACTCTGAAAACCCAGGGAGGATATCCCAAAGGACAGCGGGAATTTCATCGTCCCGTCCAGAAGCACTCGGCTCATCCGTTCTTTGAGGAGGAGCCGAGGAAAGGGGAGTCGCCCTAATCCCTTCAGCAGGGTCAGACTCCGGCCTTTGACCATTCCAGGTCCCAATCCTATTCCTAGGATCGGGAATCGGCCTTGCTCTTCTTGGAGCACGGGCTCTACCTCTAACTCCTCTTGCCATGGATTATTTCGAAGAGAAAAGTCGAAAGAAAAGGGGAAGGAGTTCGAATTCGAAGAAAAATAAACTGAAATCAAAGGAATTTACCTTAATCTGAAGCGAAAGTTGCCGATTTACGAGTTCGTAGTGGCAAGTCTCAGTTTCTAAGCTCAATGCTCGGGGGAATTTGCGAAGTTTTGATGCGGGTTCTTGGTTTCTCTCTCGAAGAATTCTGGGTTTGTGTTGGTGAATAAGTGAGGAGAATGACGCGCCTCTGTTTATATCTCCAGGTACGGGATACGAAGAGTCTGTGCTTTAATTTCTCTTAAGTACCCACTAAGTAACCATTAAACACATGTCTTGTGATTAAACTGCCCATTATCCGTCCAACTTCCGCAAATCATTAACCGTTGTTATCTCATTAATTACGGTTTAAATTCAAATTTTTGGATCAATTAAATCATTTACTTCCCTCCTTTTCTGAGTTAAATCAAACCCGACCCGTCATTCTTCCAAATCGGGTCTGGGGGGCAAGTTGTTTGGGTCCAATTTAGTCAAAGTTGGGCCTGAGCACTAAATGATCCAATTAAAAGCCCAAGGTCAAGGTTCAACTCTCCAATTGCTCAAAAGTCAAAAGTCAGCCCACAAAGTAAGCCAATTGGGCTAAAGCCCAACCTCTCCAAGTATGATGAGGTATAAAAGCCATCATATTAACACATTCAAAAGGACATCACATATGATCATTGACATTCCAATTCATATGCTCATTCTTGCATTCAGAAATATTCCACAAAAGCCTCAAGCTACAAACTCTCTTGCATAGTGTCTTCCTTCTACACATTGTACTGACTTTAGCATCGGAGGGGCCTTCCTCGGAAACACCCCCGAGGCTAGTTTACGTGTGTTCACTGTGCAGGAAACCTTCGGCCCAACACAACTTGGATCGAATCCAGTCTTCTCCATTTCAGTGGACCTTCGGCAAGGTCCCATTGTTTTCAACCGAAAGGTAATTATCAACGGAGCCATAAGCTTCAAAAGCGACAGTGTTATGGAAATCGATCATATCAGCCTTAGATTGATTGTAAGCATCAAGTATTGGGGTTGAACCATTGTCAAATAACCATGAAATTATACCCCACTTTGCTGCGATTTGAGCATTGTATTTCCGGTCTAACTTGTCGGATCCGGTCCCTAACGATATTACCAGCAAACGTTCACGATCCGTGGGCTTAATCGGGAAGAAATTCGGGTTTTCCCTCACTACTTGTTTTGCCACTTCCGTTAATGCAACTAGTGTCTGTAGATGTCAAATTAGAGACGAAGATATAGTAAATGATTTTCTGTGTGTTGTATTACGATATTCACTATATATATACAACCTAAGAGTAGAGATTAGGGCTTAATATCGGCCTATTAGCTATACATGATACAAGGTTTAACAGTAGATGACCAAATTTATTTAGTTAAAACTCTTAGGCACAGTACAATTAGTCAATTACAGTCCATTTTGCATTGAGTGCACAATAGATTTTGTTCTAAAACTAATCATGCATATATTGTATAAATTAAATAAAATCTATGTAGTATAATATATGTATTACCATGCAATGTACACTTTTTTTTATTCGTAAGATGAAGGATCTTACTGAATTAATACCTCTCAAAGTTTAATTAAATCAGTCTAGCTACACAGGTCAATGTTTAAGAGTAGAAAAGGGATAAGAGAATCCCCCTACTTCTAAGCTGCTAAGTAAATATAGTTGAATGTTACCATGTACAATTGCGTGCATGCTTAGAACAATTTTATCGAAATCAAGTTCAGATAACAAGAGTAAGGTAATAAAGAATAATCTTACAGGGTTATTGGCAGCAACACCTCCATCAATGAGGTTGAATTCTCTGAGATTGCCTTTATCATCTTTGTTTTCGAAGTAATACGCTGGTAGGAGAGTTGGAGCAGCCGACGTGCCTAAGCATATGTCTGACATCAAAGCGTCTACATCTTTATAATTTGGAACCTACAATGTGTTTTTTTCCCTAATGTTAAGAACACATGATATGGACAGAATTCGGCCTTAAATGATGCATACCATGCCCGGCCCCTCAAATATATCTTTATTAACTAATGAATCTAGTTGGTGTCCATGTATTTTGAATAATTGAAGTTAAACTCTTAATTCTCCTTATAAGCTTATTATATCTTACCATAATGTTAGTTACTCCAATTTTTTTGATGAGAGCATAGCCTTTTTTTTTTTTTTTTTTTGACACAAAGAGCATAACCTTTACATATTCAATTAATAAATTATGTATAAATGATACATCACGGATGAATTAATACATTGAGAATTGTTCTCTTTGTCAGAAAAAAAAAAAAAAAAAAAAAAAAAAAAAAAAAAAAAAAAAACATTGAGAATTGGCTAACTTACCATATAAGAAGAAAAGAGAACAGGCTGAAGATTTTTGATATCAAAAGTGGGAATAACCACATTAGTTAGTGCTTGATGCAACCTTGTATCACCTAGTATTCCTTTCACAAGCTTGTGCAGGTATTTTCCATCGTATTTTGGTCCATTTAGCATCTTCATTAGAGTCCCCATCGATCCGAATATCCCACTACACCTCCAACGGTTAATTCAAGAACAATAACAGTACAAAATATGCACGTACATTAGCACCCTTATTAGACTTTATAATAGTTGCATCAGTTCCACTTCTTAAATCCAATCTACAGAGTATCAATTTATTAGGACATGTCAGATAATATAAAACTCCTTGATTAGAACATATATATTGCTTGTATTATTAGGACATGTCAAATAATATACATATTTAGTATGAATATTAGTGAAAAATAATTCAAATAATAATGGATGATATTTGAAATTTAACTCATATCATATCTGAATTTTACTTTGAATAATACAAGCAATATATATGACCTATGCTTTTGTCATTAATGGCGGTGTTCGTGGTAATGTAGTTCCTTCCCGGGGACTTCGACAAGGAGACCCTTTATCACCCTATCTTTTTATTCTGATCGCTGATGCCTTCTCAAAAATGATTCAGAGTAAAGTACGGGAAAAGAAGCTACATGGTGGAAAGGCTAGTAGGAATGGTCCAGAAATCTCTCACCTTCTTTTTGCTGATGATAGCCTATTATTTGCAAGGGCGAACCGACAGGAATGCTCAGTTATCGTTGATATTCTCAACCAATATGAAGCAGCATCCGGGCAGAAAATTAACTATGATAAGTCGGAAGTCTCTTTTAGCAAGGGTGTGACCGAGGCAAGAAAAGACGAGATTTTGGGGCTCCTTAATATGAGGCTAGTGGACAGACATGAGAAGTATTTAGGCATCCCTACTATTGCCAGAAGATCGAAGAAAGCAGTCTTTGGAGCATTACTTGATCGAATATGGAAGAAACTCCAAGGTTGGAAAGAGAAATTGCTCTCCCGGGCGGGAAAGGAAATTTTGTTAAAATCAGTCATTCAGGCCATCCCTACCTATCTTATGGGTATTTATAAAATCCCAGCCACTATAATTCAAAAAATTCGATCGGCCATGTCAAACTTTTGGTGGGGCCAAAAAGATGGGCGAAGGAAGGTTCACTGGAAGAAATGGGATAGCATGTGTACCCCTGAATGCCTTGGGGGAATGGGCTTTAAGGATTTATCCGTTTTCAATGATGCGCTCTTGGGTCGTCAAGGATGGAGACTTGTTCGAGCACCGGATTCTCTCCTTGGGAAAGTTATGAAAGAAAAATACTATCCCAATTGTTCCTTCCTTGATGCTCCTCTTAACCCAAATTGCAGTTTCTCCTGGAACAGCGTGTGGCAATCGAAGCATCTACTTAACGAAGGGAATATCTGGAGGGTTGGCAATGGTTCACAGATTGATATTTGGAGTGCACCATGGCTTGCGGATGAGCAGGGTCGTTTTGTGACAAGTTCAAGGGTGGAGGGCATTTCGTATGTACATGAGCTCATTGATTTTGACAGAATGGAGTGGGATGTTGATTTACTTGATGAGCATTTCAATGACAGGGATAAAAGGTGCATTCTTGCTATTCCTCTGGGCAGCAGCACGCAATCAGACGAGATTACTTAGGCTTTCTCTAAGACAGGGGATTATTCAGTCAAGACAGCTTATATGATAGGAAAGGGGTGCAACCTTGACGAATTTCAACAAGCTTTTGTGGATATCTGGGCTTTTGACGTTTCCCCAAAGGTAAGACATTTTCTTTGGAGGCTTTGTACTGACACCCTACCTGTGCGTGAGCTGCTACTTAAGCGTCACATGGTTGAAATTGCTAAGTGCCCTTGGTGTCCTGAACCGAATGAGAGTGTCGGGCATATTCTGTTTGACTGCCCAAGAGTGGTAGACCTTTGGGCTGACTGCAATTGCGTGTGTTTGACTGATAGGAGAGGTGTGGAAAACATGTGTGAGCTTGTAGAAAATTGGAATAAATTTGATGGTAAAACAAAGCAGCTCGGTGCTTACCTAGCATGGTGCATATGGAGTGAAAGAAATCGGATGGTTTTCAAAAATAAAATCACTCCAAATGAGGTAATAGTGGAGAGGGTTAAAAGATTGGTTGAGGAACATGGGAAGTATGCAGGGCGAATCTATAGAGGTGCTGGGAAGAGGAAAAAGGAAAGCCCGAAGAGTTGGACAGCACCACCCCTGAACTCTATCAAAATTAATACTGATGCGTCGCTTGTGGACGACGGTTGGGTGGGGCTAGGTGTGGTCGCTCGTGACCACCGTGGTGAGGTTTTGTTTGCTGCAGTCAGAAGGGTACGAGCCTACTGGGACCCAGCAGTATCGGAAGCTAAAGCACTGGCTATGGCAGTAAGGTTGGGGCACAGATTCGGGGTAAGCAACGCCATCATTGAAACTGATTGTGAAGTGCTCACGAACAGGCTTGATAACGGAGCTATCTTCCTCTCTGATTTAGACTCTGTTCTAGGGGAAATTATGTCTTTATGTATCTCTTTTAATACTATTAAGTGGTCTCATGTAAAGAGGGATGGCAACTATGCTGCTCATCACCTCGCCAAGATTATCCCCTTTGGGGCTGAGCAAGTGTGGGAACGCTCTTGTCCACATGAAATTGCTCCGTATGTTTTGATGGACACCTTATCTATATAAGTACGAGCTTTCGTTGGTTTTCAAAAAAAATATATGACCTCAAGTTTTAGCTAGTGCAATTTTATCAAATATTGGTAAATTTTTTATTTCTAATGTTGACGATAATGAAAATATTTGCACGAATGCAAAATATTATTTTCACACACACACACAAAAAAAAAAAAAAAAAAAAAAAAAAAAAAAAAGAAAGAAAGATAAAATGAGGTGAACAATAGTATTTGCATGCTGGGGTGTCTTATTACTCAAGATTTATATAACTTGTGCAAGCAGGAAGTAGTATTTGCATGCTGGGGTGTCTTATTACTCAAGATTTATAAACAAAAATTTATTTTGCGAGTCATATATCTCTGAAAGTGCCATTAACTTTTTTAATGATTATTCTTCATCAAGTTCCTCACATTATTGGTCTTACTTGGGGAGTTTGTTTAAGGTGCTTTGGCGTAGATCATACACGATAGATTTCCAATGATCTCATTTTATTGTGATTTGCTCACTCGCTCACTCTGTCTTTATATAGTTTTTCATACATATTTTTGTACAGATGTATTAATAAAGTTCAAAGATATTGAAGGTTAAAGTTGTGTTAAAATTAGAATCAAAGTGTGCTAATTAAATAGTGACGAAAGTATACATTTTGATGTTCTCAACTTTTTTTTTACTTTTTGCCGTGAGTTCTTTATAAATTGTTTTTATCTAAAAGTATAAAACTATGTTGCAATATTCCATCAGATTCTACCAGAAATTGAGTATATAATATATATATATATATCATCTTGTGCATCTATGTCAATGGTTCGAATTATTCAAAGCATACTACTAGGCTTGTTAGCATTATTTTTAAATCTAAATTTTAATGAACAATTTGTTGAAAGCATATATTCGGCTTGCTTAGTTGAAAGCATTAACTAAATACTGCCAAAAGCTAGAAGTTCTATATTATAGTACGAGTAATGATTTATTTTTGATGTAACAGGCCATTTACGGAGTATTATTTGTCAAATTGTACAATACAGTTATAAATTAAATTTATCAACGTGTTTTTGGCCTTATTGGATATCCACCTTTTACCAGAACATCGTGCATGCCTTTTATACTTCTTATTACTCTTCTTAGGTGATGTGAATAGTAGGAGCCTTGTGATTACTAGGGGAAAGGTGGTGGTGGTCTGGGTGTTTCCAAAGGCTTAAGGATGCATGGAATGCGTTGAGAGATTTTATTTCGGGATCATACATATCGGGTGATCATAATAATAAAAAAAAAAAAAAAAACGAAGTTTTCTGTGATAAATGTATCCTTAAAGTCTTGGCTCACAATAGTGAATTATACGATTGTTACGTACAAGATTACATTATGCACCTTTTATTATCTTGACGACAGACATATTATCTTTATATTAAATGTTCAAGATAAAAAAAAAATTACCTTGGTTGATGGAAGATCTTTGGAGAATGTTCAAGGTAAAAAGGAACTATATCCTTAGCATCGTAGAGAGGCCGATTTTTCTCATTAGGTGCAGTTAACATGGCCGTTATGAGGCCACCGGTGCTTGTTCCAGAAATAACATCAAAATAATCTGCCAATCTTGCTTCCTTACCATCTAATTTCTGTTTTGAGCATTATTAATATTATTAATAATCGTTAGCATGCAAAATTATGGCAAGAAAGACATTAATATTTAACCTGATTTAATTTCCTCATTACTAATTTACTATATACGTTCAAAACTTCACGTTCAAGTTATATGATTATGAACAACATAACATAATTAATAACATATGCGTACCTGGAGTTCAGATTCAAGGAAATCAAGCATGACCGCGGGGATTATACCCCTAATCCCTCCTCCATCGATACTTAGGATTGTTATGAGCTTACCGCGATTTGGAGGTCTAGGGAAAAGGAGATGGCTCGTAGTTTTCTCCATTTTATCGGATTTATATGTTTTCTAGGTTTATGAATAATTAGGAAATGATAAGTTGAAGCTATAAATTTAATTTATATATACTTGGTGTAATTCTGGTTTGCTTGCATAATTGCAGAAGTGATGTAACTCATGTAATGATTATTTATAGTGGCAGGAGTGTAATGCACACTTGAAAAATAAAAATTGTATAAAAAATAATACAATAGTAAAAGATTCTAACTCTTCATTTCAGGGAAATTGACTTGACTAAATTCAGGTTTATCCAACATTATATTATACTTGTATGAATTAGCTCCTTCCAAGTTCTTGCCTTAGCTTATCGATAATAATACATTCAGGCACGTATGCTAATTTTATACTCGTACTAACTTCGACTTAATCTTGTTCTATTTAAGTTTAAGAATTCCGAAAATTCTACTATGGTCCACTTTATTTGGACCATCACTATACTGAATTATCATTGGCCGATTTTTTATTTATTTTTTTACCTTGGTCAAACCTTATTTTTAGTTATTTTCTTTTTTAATTCTTTTTTTATTTTCCAAAATTTAATTACTGAATTTACGAAAATCATTTTAATTACATTTTCAAAATTTAATTATTAAAATCAGATTTTAATAAAATAAAAAAAACGATTAAATTAAAAAAATCAAATAAAAAAATTGTTCATCAATGTTCTTCCTAGTTCATCAATGTTCTTCAAGTTTTTTCATTCGTGAATGAGATTAAACACAAACACATGATCTATGTCCATTAAATTCACTCGCGCATCGAAAGCGAATAACAATATGGACCGATTTAAAAAGCAAATGCGAAATTTTAAGATATCAAAAAGTTGTAGTCGTTGCGAATTTGGGCAGCAATTTAAATCTCTAAATAATAGGTTTAGATTGTACTAAATCAGTCAACGTTTGCAAAAACGGTGATTTTATGTAATCGAAATAACAATTTTTGAGTTTTACGATAATCGGGGTTTGTCATGAACATCTGAAAAAGAAATCGCATCATTATTTTTTCGAAACCTTGTTTGATCCTAAAAAAGGGAAATCGAAATTGTAAACTTGTTTGTGTAAAATGTTTTACCCAAATAAAGGATATGACATTACCTGTTATGAAAATTGTAATTATTAAAAACATATGACATCAATTCTTTTGGACATTACCATTACTGATTTATAATTCATTAATATCTTGTTATTTTATCTTAATTCGGTAATCTACGTTCTTCAAGATAATCTAATTAGAAAACGTAAGATTTTTCTTCGAAACACTGTTTGATCCAAAAAAAAAAAAAAAAAAAAAAAGGAGACCGAATTACTAATCGTATTTGTGTTTAAGGAATTTACCCACATACGGATTGGACATTACCTATTATATACATTTTAAATATTAAACGACTATGATCATAAGTTATGTTAGAAATAACCAATTATTTTAAAGTACTTTACGACCTTTGCAAAATATTTGTAGCTAAACATGTACAAAAATTAAAATGAATATATTTTAATGATTATATATATAAAAAAAAATATAATGGAATCAATATCTTTTAGGATATCTTTTAACATTAGAAATATTATTTAAAAAAATTTCAATCACCAATTATAATAAGGATATTTTCCTAATTTCTTATCTTATTATTATTGTATAGAAGATTTTAAAATCAGTATAATTTTCAAATTTCAAAAGATTATATTCTAATATAATCTAAATATTAGAATATATATCTTACGATTTTGTCAACATATCTTATGATTTTGTAAAATTATTGATTTTTATGAGGATAAAATTTAGTAAATGAATATTAATAAATCTTAGGATAATAGATGACTCACTTTCCCTGGATAAAAATTTACGTACTTTCCCTAAAAAAAGATAAAATTAGGACAATACCATAATTTAATTAAGGTTATGATTTTAAATCTATTTTTTTTTTAAGGAAACACTTTAAATCTTTCTTTTCTAAAATAAGATCATATTTTCAGATTTTTTTGACTTGCTTATCGTAAAATAAAATCAAAATGTTGGTTCCCTCAGCTCCACGTCAAAAAAATCATAAAGTTGGAATTTTCACAATATCAAAAATACATATGGTCATTCGTCAAACTCAATAAACTTTCTTTTTTAGGTAATAACCAAAGTACACATAAGTTAAAACCTGAACTATAAACAGATCAAAAAACTCACACTTGTGTTCTACGTATCAAACAAGGTTTATGAGAAGAATATTTTTTTAAAAAAAATGCGTCTTCTTCCTCTAATCGATTTGCTCATTATATATCTTTGTATCCTAAAATTGTGTCTTCTTTCTTTGACCAATTTGCTCATTATATAGGTTTGGACATTAATTTTTGTTTTTTGGTTTGTGTAATAATTTGAAATTTAAACCATCTTTCTATAAGGTAAAAAAAAAAAATTATATATTTAAAGCAACAAATCAAAATTGAAATTTAGATTAACAATGGAATGTGTTAGATTTAAGATCTATTTGAAGATTATTTCCTAATGCCTATATGATGGCTGTTGATTGCTTATTTTTAGAAAATATTGTTACTAAATGAAACATAAGTTATCCCATATAAATTGTCGTCCAAATCTTTTTCAAATATGCTATTATAATATTTAACGTACTATTTAGGAAATAAATCAATGATATGCAATAGTGTTGTTATCAATTAATTTTTAAGACACATAAAATATAGACTATAAATTAAAAATGAAACTAAACTAATAAAAAAAAAATACTCGTAGAGTCGTAGTACTAAACATTGGGTAAAAAACAAAACACAAAAAATCACATTTAACATGTAACACTATTTTGACAAATAGGAAAAAGAATATTTTCGATTATCATTAATAAAACTAGAATGCATGTATATACAAAACAGAAGCATGATATATCCTAATTATAAGGAATACAACTAACAATAGTAGTGTGTATTTAGCCTAAATATAAGGGGTTGAATATTGGCTTTCCTAATTTATAAATACAAAAATATATTTACTGTATTTAACAATTTGTCATTGTATTCTTTCCAAAAAAAAAAAAAAAAGGTTTGCCATGTAATTGCTCACCTCCACGTTTTTTTCATTTGGTTATTATATGGGATTCGTCCAATATTAGGATATGACATTACTTATATATTTAGAATTGGTCTCAATCTCCATAATTATTGTAAAATTATAATAATCATCGAAGACGGTTCACTATTTAAATTAATAACAAACTAGTATCCAAGTAATCCAACCATTGGGTCACACGATAGATAAGAAGATAAACATCTAATTTGACAATTAGGTTGCCATTAGAATAGCTCTAAAGGTAGTTTGATTGAGAGTTAAAATTTTGAGGAACTAGTAGAATTTGTGGTTGTCTTCATTTTTGTGATATTCGTGGTTGTTGTTGTTCGGGTTTTGTAATAGCAAGGATACATAGTACTAACAAGGAGTAGTGATAAAGTTTTTATTGGGAAATAGCTATGGGAAAACAATTGTTATAAGTGAAGTTATCTAGAATTTGTTATAAGTTACAGATTTTAAAAATATATATATATATATATACTATTGTTTTAGATATTATTTTAGAACACACTCGTTCTCTTATTGAGTACCTAATTAATTTTAAAATAGCTTCGCTTTAAATGATTTTGATAATAAGAAGTAATAATAAGGAAATGTAAAGTTATGTAAAATGGATTAAATGTAAAATATATGATAGAATTGTATATTAGTTTATTACACTTTTTGAAGTAGAAAATTTTCAAGTGGTTCTTCTACTGAAAATATAGTAGTTAGAATTTGTAATCAATACGGAAAGTATAAAATTAATGAGAAATATGATTTGGGTATGTTTTAAAGTTTATTTGCCGGTCATTTATAAATTGTTATATGTTGGGAGGGAATAGCTTTACACTTTATATTTAAGATTATAGTCGTTGGAGCACACACGTAGACACTACGTGTGTGCCTCCCCAATGGTATGATATGTAAGATTCGTGGTTAAGATCACGTTTCATAATTTGGGGTGTTATTAACATGATAAATTGATGTTTACGGGATCTTATTTGTGTGGTAGTCACTAACTTAATTTTAAGTTCTTCCTATCTTTTCTTCCCTCATATATACCGTCTCTTATATTTCTTCCTCGTCTTATCTCATTTTCCTTTTCTATTCATCCTTGCTTTCTTTTAACCTTCTTGTTCCTTTTTTCTCCAACCTATCCACTCTCTTGTATAGTTGGAATTGTTTAGTAAGCCTCTCTCTCTCTCTCTCTTATTCTCACCCGACCCTTCTCACTTTCTCGACTCATCTCTCTCTTTATCAGTCTATCTCATCCTTGTATTCATCCTTGTATTCTTTCACTTTCTTGTTCCTTTTTTCTCCAACCTATCCACTCTTCTAGTATAGCTCAGACGGTTTACTAAGCCTCCCTCTCTCTCTTATTCTCTCCCGATCCTTCTCTTTTTCCCAACTCATTCCTCTCTTTATCACTCTATCTCTCTCTCTCCCTGCCCCTCAGTCTCTCTCTCTCTCCCTCCTCCTGGCTCATCTCTCTTTCTTTCACCTTTAAAAGGTTAATGTACAGCTATTGAAAAAAAAACCAGAGCATAATGTACAACCAATTAACAATTTAACATGCAACTTCCACTCCAAATTATCCAGAACAAAACAAATTGATTATATTCATAGATTATAAATGTATCCAAAAGAACATATTAACACAACCAGTTGGACAAGAATCAAACCAAGCTATATAGAGCACATGATCAGAAGATATTTTACAAAGAATATAGAGTTCTGGGCCTAGAAGATTCTTGACATAAAAAATGAATCTCAAAATGTGTAAAAGAACAAGCCAAAAAGCTACGAAGCTCAATATTATTACTCCGTACTACATATCAGTGAACTCTTTTGAAGCACACATTTTGTTTTGCCTGAACGACAAGATAAAGAAAAGGAACCTGTTGCATTTGAAGTCATAATTGTCATTGCTATATGCTTGATGCAATGAGCTGCAGTTGCTACCTTAGAGTATTAACCTGAAAGAGTCAGACCAGAACTCCAATTAACCAAAACCAAATATTTTAGTTGAAAAGGAATTCTTGATATCACACTTGTAGTGTCATCATATAAATTCTGCCACAAAGTTAATACGGGATAGTATGTTACAAGCTTAGATCAATACTGAGATAGTTTACTTGTTTTTGCAAGCATACCTCATTGTTTTATCTGTTAACACACTTATTGATCCCTAATCAAAGCATAAAGTGTAATAATAGTATAATACAGGATTTCAAGTTAACAATTACATAAACTACAGAAGAAATTATATGGATCGTTGAGCACTCTGTTAATAATTTATAATAAAGTAATACATGGCTGTCCATTTTGGATCAAGAGTGTGTTATAAAGGTTTAATCATTGAAGATAATTGAAAACAATTAGTTCAATTTTGAAATCATCCAATATTTTAATTAAGAAATATTAGAATCGTCTTTTTTTTTAAATGAAAATTTACAGAAGAGCAACAGTTCCATGATGGTTATGCGAGGGTTTTGAGTCTGGACTCCTCTGCTTGTCAGAGCAAATTATCTAGCAACCTTCATTAAGAAAATAATCACTTAGACATTTAACGATCTTAATCAAAAAAATTAAATAAGGCCCTTACTTTAGAATGCTGAGAAATCAAATCTCTAATTTTTACATATACATTAATCCTCATCATTTTGGCAATTTATCAATTAGCCATTATCCAAATAGTCATTAATCAAAATTGACCACATTTTAACTTTATAACTAATGTGTAAAAAAATGGAAGAAGGGAAGACAAAATAAATAAGAGAAGCCCAAGCATTCATTTTATCACCCCAACCAACTCAACACAACAACACCACATAGGCATCAAATGAGCAATAACAACCCGCTGCGATAGAACCAGGGTAGCAGACCGCAGTAAATTCCAGAAGGCATAACTCCTAGCACACAACTCCAAATCGAGAAATTCTTGAGCCTAGATTGAATAACTTTTCAAGATCTAAAACATTAATGAAGAGACTATGAGCTAAAAACAACTTCAGGTCGATGATTTTTGGATGAACAGAACAGCAGTAACAGGAAGCACCAGAACAACAGCGGCAATAGCGTGAAACAACAACTACCCTCTATAGTCACTCACAACAACAATATCTAACTTGACAACATAAATTTTGGCAGCAAACACCATATGCATATAAGCAAATTAAAAAGAGAAAGTATTGGGAGAAAATGGAAATATAGGCAAAAAATCACAAGTAAGCTATTCATATTAAAGGTTAGATGAAAATTGAACCAATTAGAATTAAGAAAGAGAAAGGGGCGATAGAATTGTACCTGTAGATCAACAATTCTGTTACATATCAGACAATAATGCTACTAATAATATAAAAAATCAACCCCAAAAAACGATACATCACTCAAATTCAACCAAAAAAAACTACCACACCTCTTAACTGAAGCAAGCAACACTACCCAATTGCAAGCTCGTTTTTTTTTTTAACCACCCCCAACCCAACATGTGATCCAGAGACCAAATTATTAGCGTCCACATTTAACATGATTATACCTTTAGGGGGATCCAACCTGATGCAGAAGGGTAGTCATGAGCTGCAGTTCTAACGAAAACTTTGTGTGAACTATGTTCAATGATATGTTTTCAAAGATGAATTTGTTCCTGCAGAACCAAATAGCACACATCATAACAAGTATAGTTGCGAGTCAAGAAGGACTATCACAGCAAGGATAGGAGGAGTTTTCCCTGAAGAAGCAACACGGTTTGGAGCCACATCCTTCCTTTTATCCCCTGCCATAAGAATTTCGGAAGATTTCAAGCCTTCAAGGCATAGAGCATATAAGTCTTATGATCTAGTACTTTGAAAGTGTAAGAATCAACACGTGACAGCAGTCATCATGATACTTGCACAGAAGCTAAACAGAGTAGAAATTCTCCAAGATCATAAAAAAGGTTCAATACTACGACTAACTCAATTGCATCAACTTTAATTAGGAATCATATATAATAAGCCTCGAAAAATTAAACATGTATATGTTCGTAAAATCATTATAATAGCATGTAATTAAAACTACAGTTGGAATAAAAATAATTCCTAAGCATAGCTAGAAACCAACACTGAGAAATACACAAAAAAAAAAGTAATACCCAGAAAATAATTCCTAAGCAAAAAATATATGCTGGGTAAGTGTTAATCAATTGCTTCCATACTCAAATTAAATTCAACTATGCCAAATGCCATTAACAATATTTCAGCATAATTAACCCATAATTCCTTAATACATAACCCATAATTCCTTAATCAATAACCCATAATCAACCAAAGAATTCTTCAAACAAAGAAACAGATAAATCAAGTACCAATCACTAATATAACACAAATGAAATAAACAAATGATAAAATTGCAAGAATCAGGAAAATTGAAAAAAAGAGAAAAGAAAGCATACGAGGAGAAGCGAAGAGAACACAATCAGCTTCGAGAATTTTTCGGCTAAAAGCTTCAACGACGGGAGGGTAAGTACTGTCAACCTCAAGATTAGTGTTGATTATCGCCAATGGGGAAATATCGATGTAATTGATTTTTCATTGTTTGTATTGATTCTGAACTTATCGTCATTGCTGAATTCATTCAAAAATTAAAAATCTCATAATTGAAAACTTTGGGCTTTAAAATTTGATTGTGGGGGGAGGAGGGGGAGAGAGAAAGTACCTTCTCAGAGAAGGCCTTTGTTGTAGGAAGGGAGCCGCAAATGGGGGCGGAACTAATTATTGGTTTCACCTGAACCTGCATTACGAATAAAAAAAAAAACTGATGAAAATCATCAATCTCCCAAATCCTTACTAATTAAAACAACAAAAAGGCAGAAAATTAAAAACAAAAATCTAGATCATAGAAAAGGGGAGGAATTTCTGTAACCACCCAAAAAATCCAACTACGGAAAAAACCCAGAAATAAACAAAAAATAAATCAGTCTAATAAAAGGAAAAATCTAATTGAAGAGATGAACACCAGGAAAAAAAAAATTAAAAAAAAAAAAATTAAATGATAATTTTTTTGGTATTGTACCTCAGAAACTGCTCCAATGGAGGAGATAGAGAGTGAGAGCGGGGAGAGGAGAAACGGGAGGAGAGAGAAATATAGTGAGAGGAGAATAAGGAAGCATACTTAAGAGTTAAGAGAGAGAAAGAAGACAACTGGCTCAGACAGCTGCCAAAAGCCAGGCCACCAAAGAAACAGAAACAATAAAAGGGTAAATTGGCAATTCATTGAATTCAGGGGCGCATAAGTAATAGCACCAACAATTACTATTCATAAGCTACAGTAGCTACTTTTGCAATTTTATAATGGTTATGGATATGCATACATAAATTAAAACACAATAGCTTATATATAAGTGATCATTGATACCAAACTTGGTATATGTAAATTGTGACTTGGGTGGTGAATGAGGATTGAGGACCACGATCCTATTTGCTATCAATTAAGAAAAATATTAGGATATTAATGCATGCACAATATGAACTAATTATTAGCAATGTCCAAAATAACGTATGGTCGTAGACCAAATAAGCAATGATATTGTGTTTTATAGGTAATGTCCTATTAGCATTTGGGTTAATACCTTATATGCAAACAGAATCGAAAACTATAACTTTTTTTTTCGGATCAAACAAGTATTCCAAAACAAAAATCGTTGTCTTCTCCAATTAGCTCACAAATCCAGATTTCGAAAAATTGTTATTTTTTTTCGCATACCTATAATGACCGATTTTTCATCCCTTGTTTGCGATTATCCAATTAACACTTATTGTTTTAGGATTAAATACAATCCCAGATTCATACATGAATCCAAATTTTGAATGAACTCTTCATATCACATATAATATGTAAATCGATGCATATGTTCAATTTTCATTGATGTGCGAGTGTATTTACGGGACAAAGATTACCATAATGGTGGTTAATCTCATCCATGGATAAACAAACTTTAAGAACAATGATGAATAATGAAGAACATTGATGAACAATTTTTTATTTTGATTATTTTAATTTAATGTTATTTTTTTTAATTAAAAACTGATTTTAATAAATAAATTTTGAAAATCAAAAAATAATTTTCAGAAATTCAATAATTATATTTTGGAAAATAAAAATTGAATTAAAAAAGGAAAATACTAAAAATAGTGTTTGACCAAGGTTAAAAAAAATTAAAAATTCGACCAATGATAATTAAGTATAGTGATGGTCCAAATAAAGTGGACCATAGTAGAAACATCCTTAAGAATTCTGTTTGATCAACTTTCTCGATTATTTGTAAAAGATGTGAGCTAACTTAGCCAGCAAGGTCTTTGAAGAAGTTTTGATTAATTAATAGCTAGGACAAAATAGATAAAATAAATATAACAAAATATTCTAGTCGTTATTAGTCTTAAAAATGACCGTCGAATTATGCATATATTGTACTTAATAGTTTTATTTACACTCATCTAAGTTTATTTTTTATGAACATAACATGACCTAATTTGAGGTATTCGTTCCATAACTTGTCTCATTTGAGCATTTTTCTATACTTTTTCACTTAACCATTTAAAATCATGTGAATATGAATGCCATTGAATTAATTCTTTTAAAACCGTCCGTTCATATATAGGGTCGTTTGGTTACATATTAACCATATTATCGGCGTTTACGAGTGATAAACAATTAAAGTGTTGCTTTAAGAATCCAAATTATACTGTATTTTTTCAGTCATTTTATGGGGAAAAAAAAAAAAGTTTCCACGTTGTATTGATGTGGACATGTGGTAGTTTGGTACGGTGTAGTCGTTTGGAGGATTTATAATGTACGGAGTATAACCGAGGAAAAAACAAGTTAACACTCATCTCCTTGTTTTAATTTACTACTTCCTTCGTTCTTTATTACTTGACCCGCTTTGACTTTTACATTATTCACCACCCCTTCTTTGACCGTCTTTTATGAATAATACGTAAAAAAAATACATTCTTGTATGATCTTTTTGGATTCGTCTCAATAAGTACTATCATAATATATATAACTTTTATAATTTTTACTTATGAAGAATTTAAGTAATTGATCGTTAAAGTTTTGCATTGGCAAGCGTGATAAAAGAAACAAGTCAAGTAAAAAAGAACAGAGGATTACAGTACTATATTACTCCGTATTTAATAAAAATATAAATACTCGTACATGTATAGTGGAGTATAATACTTCGTATAGGATTTAGGATAATGTCATGCACTTTATTTTTCTGCTTATTAGGCTATTACTAGAAGCTTTTTTAATAATTAGAATAAGAGGTGGACACGTTTTCGATTATTTGACCAATTAATGCTAATACAATTTCTGTAATCAGGTTCATTAACGTTACCATTTTTTTTTATAATGGTAATCATCCTTTTAATTTCAATTCAATATCCGTAATCTATCTCATACACGCTAATCTTATTATTATTATTATTATTATTATTATTATTATTATTATTATTATTATTATTATTATTATTATCTCAAAAACAAAAGTCATACAACCTACAATAAATTAGTGGGAAGCCGAGATACAATCTGGGCCCCCACTCCTCTAGCTATTGCAAATCCTACCCTAGTGAAGATATGAGCTGCAGCACGAACCCCAATGTCTTGCGTCGTCGAGAACCTCTGAATCTACTTCAGTAACGCAACAGCCTCTTTCTCTAATTCCCCAAGCGAAGAAAAGGAGAAGAGAATGAAACCATATCCAATCGCCTGACATCGAGCTTCGTACTTATCTCGCTTCCGATGAGCTGCATCAGCCACAACCCGCCCAGGAATGAAGTCAGATAGCCCTGACTGTGTCAAAGGAGAAGACCCTGTCAAATCAACACAGACATCGCGACCACGATCCCATGAATAAAGTAACACATCCGCGGGTTTGAGGGCTTCATCGTTCCCTCCGGCCAACCCAATGTCAAGGACCAAGGGGATTACCCTGCTGCACCCCTTGAGATGACCATAAGGTTTGGTCCCCATAGTACAACCTGGCTGGATTGGAATAGCAGAATTCTACCCATCGCGAAATGCCCGGACAACGACGACGTACCTCACGTAACATGACCGAACGATCAACCAGATTGAAGGCATTTTGAAAATCCACCAACAACATAGATAGACCAACATCAGAACTACGGTCCTCAATCAACCGATTCAACGCATGAAGAATTGCCTCACCACCTGAAGAAACCCCAACACCAAATTGAATGCCATCAAAGTAACTCCCTAAAGACTGACCAACCATAACAACACCCACCTTCGAAACGAGACGCCGCCAAACCGTACCCACAACAATAGGACGGATACCACCACCGGGTTGACAAGTGGCGTAAGAGGAGCACTAGCAATGTACTCTCCTAATTCCATAGGAATCTCCCAGCTAGAAAGAGATTAACCACCCCAGTAATAGAGTCAACCAACTCATCTGAGACTGCCACAGCTGCACCACTCAAGCAATCCATAAGATGTTGAGCATGCAAACCATCCCTACCACAGGATGTGCCACGAGGGAAACTCCTAATCCGATCCAAAACAACAGCAGAAGTCGTAACTAGATGAAGGTGATCAATAGGTATATCAGGCAAGGATGGAGCTGGAGATGAAGGGTGCTTTGACTGTAAATCTGCAAGAGTGGCGTTAGTATAAGGTGCAACGCCTGAAGAAGAAAGAACCCGAATTGCAGCAGTGTAATGGCCATCGCAAATCTTCCTACGACACTGCTTAATGTTACGCTCTTCCAAATCAATGTCCTCATCATCAACCGTCGACAAAGTAGGAGAATCCTATGCCAAAATTTCCCTCACAAGCTGCAAATTACCACCCGCTACACTCCAAGAACAAATAGCACGGGAAATACTCTCTTCTTGATGCCGACGTCTTACCGAAGACCGAGACTCACGACTACTCCGCGGGCGAAAGATTTTAAGGATGCAAAGAGGTAACACCAACAAAGAGACCCAATTAGAAATGTCATCAGGCTTAGAGATCACCTTATCAAGAGCACCTTTCAGAACCCGAGAAAACCCCAAACGACACTTGGGAGGGATAGACTTAACAGAGCGAAACCCCTTAGAGAATAAACAATCAAGGAAGGCCACATCAAAACCACCGTTATGATCTCGCACCAATCCATCCATACGATCAACTCGAGCAGGAGAAGAAGGAGATTGCGGCTTGGTGAAATTATGAAGCACAAAACGAACAACACCATCTCCTTCATCAGGGGGTGACACATCCTCATCCCCACCATGACGACACTTAATACGTACCGTGTGCGTTTTATAGCAAACTCCACATAACCAAATCCCCATACGCCTAAAAGTAACTTCTGCCTCATTATAAACAGCCAAATTAGAAGTAAGAGAATGTCGGGTGATATCTCGCGCACCGATACAACAATGACGATCACTAAGATGTCTGATTAGAGAACGTCAAGTAAGGCCATTTTCACTCCCATCTTGACAACCACTAAGACCCACAAAGGGACAATGAAACTTCACAACGGCAGCCGACATAGCTGACTTGCACCACCCAAAACTGAAATACGCCTGAAAGAGCACCAGAAACTGCCGCAAAACAGCACCCAAAACTGCACCCAAGAGCTGCCGAAACTGGACCAGAAACTGCTGCAAAAACAGCACCCAAAACAGCCCCCAATATCGAAAAATCGCTGGAAATATTGATCACCGAAACCCAAAATAGAAACCAACGAAGAATCTCCTCTGAACCACTGCAGAAACACGCCCCAAATACCATTGAACCGACTGCAGAAACCTCCTGAAATGCACCAGAAAAATCTCCAAAAACGCACCTAAAAACAACCCAAAAACCTTCCCAAAACTGATCAATAAAACGGCTGCCAAACTGCCCAAAAACGGACCAGAAAACAGCAAGTAAACACACCAGAAATTACGCCGGAAACACACCAATTTTCGCCTGAAACTCGCCTGAAATTGTACCGAAAAACACGCCTGAAACACACCAGAAATTACGCCGGAAACACACCCCAATTTTCACCTGACACTCGCCTGAAAACCGCCAGAAAACTGCCTAATTTACGCCCTAAAGCAGCACCAAATTGAACGTGTAAACCGCCTGGAAAAAGAGCCGTTGCTGCCCCTATATTTGCCGGACCACCGATGCACAAGCCGCCGATGAACCTGCCGGAAAACTAACGTGGAACCTGCTGCCGGATTATTGACGAGGACGAGAAACCTAATCGCACCCTAATCGCCCTCATAATAATAATAATAATAATAATAATAATAATAATAATAATTATTATTATTATTATTATAATTACTGTAATTGTTAGAGAACCAACTCAACTAAAAGCTCAAGCTGATGGTTGGGCCCCGTAATATGTTTTATACTTTATCAATAATGTTGTGATTAATAAAATTAGGAAAACTCAAGCTAAATTCCATATTATTTAAGGAAATGTATATGTCTTATTAATCTAAACAAGAGCATAATTTATGAGGTTATCATCTTTAGAATGTGGTGGCTGGATTGCCTATATAGGACATGTTTTGATTTACTGAACTGAGCTGAATTGAACCGAACTGCACTGAACTGAGTTGAGCTGAACCGAATTATTTATGAGAGAAGGAAATTAGAAACTAAACTGAATAATTCTACGTACATGTGTTTTCGCGGTTTTTTACTTTCTCCGTTCCAAATTTGCTAGTTAGAACAACTAATAATAGCTAAACAACAAATTATATAATGTACAACTCACAAGCAGCTACTTGATTGGCTTGACTAATTAAGTGAAATTACCGACAATCAATTGTCTAATTAACAAAAAAGAGAAGGGTTAAAAAAAGTCACAATCATGATTCAGCACAATGATTTCAAAAGTCGTGCGTATTCTTTCGTTTTACAAATATGATTGTTCTTCTGATCATAATTTACAGTAATGAAACATTGAAACTCCATTTATTTCACAATTGCGTGTCACACCATTGTCATACCAAATATAAACAAGGCAACTATATTATAATATTGGTAATATAATATTCCATGCTTTCAATAACACAATCTAATGCTCAATCTATGTTAAATGCTTCCTCAGTCTTGATTAAAGTTCTTATGAACGTTTTGATGGTATGTTATATGCATCCCTCAGAATCTATGTATGTGAGGTGTCTAACATAAGTAAAATAGATTTAAAATATTGTTTTAAACGTATAAGATAAGGTTACTCATATTATGACATCATTATTACCTATTAGTGGTACTTATCTAATGCACAATTTTTTATTTTTTTTTTAAATTCTATATGGTTCACCCTTTGGGCGAATCCGGATTCTGGGATCAATTTTAGGTGATTAGGTTTCAGTCTCCTTCCAATTATTGTTGCGGGAGACGAACACAGGTCTCCCCTACCAAGTGCAGTCTCATGATTACTGCACCAACCTAATGTACAATTTTTTTTTCTTTTTTTTTAAAAAAAATTCTATATGGTTCACTCTTTGGGCTAATCCGGATTCTGGAATCAATTTTAGGTGATTAAGTTTCAATCCCCTTCCAATTATTGTTGCGGGAGACGAACACAGGTCTCCCCTACCAAGTGCAGTCTCAATCATTACTGCACCAACAACCAATTGATAATATAGTAATATACATTATATTAAAGCATCTAATCCATTAATTCAGGCGAGTTAACTTTAGGAGCTCCAAATCAATTGGCAATTGTTTTTACCTTAAAAAAAAATTAGAGTACTTTTAATTTCTTGAACAAAGAAATTAAAAGTAAACGGTCAAAAACACAGACCCATTCACCTCGACGACAACGATTGCAATTGCCACGTCTAATTTTTGAAACATGAGTTGATGAGTGCACAAATGTTTTCTCCCCCCCAAAAAAAAAAATAATAATAATAATGATAAATAAATGAGTAGCAAACAAAAACATTTTTTAAAAAAACCCAATTTTCCTTGAAAAAAGCGGGGTGGTGGTGGAGGGGTCAGCAGACTCAGGACTCTGCTGCACTCTTAAAGAAAAAAAATGCCAGAACTTTCTTCCCGTTAATCTCTTCTCTACTTCGTTTCAGCTTTAACTTAATCATCATTAACTCTTTTAATCTTTCATTTTTATTAATAAGTTTAACACAATTTGAAATCTGGGTTTGTTTTATACCATTCCCTTTTTTTTGATTTTTTGTTGGAGAAAAATGGTGGGAGATTTGCGTTCTTTCTACAAGGTATGCTCCATCTAATTTCCTGAATTTTTTAATTTTTTTTTTACTTATTGAATTAGTTTATGTTGAAACAATCTTGTGGGTAGTTGTAAGATTTTGACATTTTCTTAAGTTTTGGTATTATTTTCCTTAATTTGACTATAAGATGCTGCAGTAGAAATTGTGGGTTTTTGGGGTTTGCTGGGAAAAAAGTTGGTTTTTTTTGGTAGTATTTATCATCAGCAAACAAGATTCTATTTTTAGTATAATATGAGTTTTAAGGCTTGTAATTAGCTGCTAAAAAGTTAGTGAGTAGTTAATTTTGTCTAGAGATGTAGAGAAATTGGGTAAGAAAACAAGAGTGATTGATGGGATATGCTTTTCTCTTTTAACGAATGTGGTTTTGATGTAATGAGTTAATAATGAAGTTTTGTAAAAAAAATTTCTTATTTTTTTTAAAAATCATTTGTACTGTTACTGCTATTGAGTATAATGTAATTAGTTCCTTTTTAATCATGCAATTGCATGCATTTGAGCTTAATTTTGGTGGATTGTGTTAGGTGAAATTGTTGTTTGGTTTGTAAATTAGAACCACATTGTCATCCTAATTGACTAGTTTGCATTTGTTATTACATGTTCTTATGTAATTTACGCGCTATCCGGTTAAATGTATCTTTAATTTTGTGTTGCTAATCAGTGTAGATTGTAATTCACAGTTGATATCTTCTTTAGTGATATTTAATCTGCCTTTTTTTGTCATACAGGATACTTTTGTTCTTCGGCCTTCAAAGATGTCTTCTCTGATAGTAAGGATGATAATGCTAGTGATTGCTACAGTATGTGGAGTATATATATGTTCAGTCTGTCTGAAGCAGATAAACCCCCAAACCAAGTCTAGTATTGAAGTTATTGAGAGACTGGGCATTAGTTGTGAGGCCAACCATTTAGATTATCCATATCTGCATTTCCCACAGCCTGAAACCTTTAGCAGGTAATGCAGTGTTGCCTTAAGTCGATGATCGTTTTTGTGTGTGCTTGAATTGGATTGTGATTGTTGATTTTCTTGTGTTTTAGGGCTGAATGTGCCGGGAATCCAGTCCGGTTCTTTGTGATAATTACAATGCAGAGATCAGGGAGTGGATGGTTTGAGACGTTGTTAAATAGTCATATGAATGTCACTTCCAATGGTGAGATATTCTCTAATAAGGAAAGGAGAGACAATATCTCCTCTATTATTCGGACTCTTGATAAGGTTTACAATTTGGATTGGTTCAATAGTGCTTCCAAGAATGAATGCTCAGCTGCTGTTGGCTTCAAGTGGATGTTGAATCAGGTAAATATGATTCTGATTTCTAATTGTGTTTTGATGATGGCCTAATGTCAGTTACATATATTCTTTCATACTATGTTGCGGTCATGAAGCTAAGTGCTTGCCATTAAAAGGTTACAATAGTATGACTTGTATCTTTAGAACTTCAAGTTAATTTTGTAAGTTCCACATTTTAAATTATTATATTTGAAATTTTGGGCTACAAAAATGCCAATTTGGCCATTGATCTTGCAGCTAAGTCAGACTGTAACATGTGAAGATCTAGTGATCCTATGCAATGACTCCATGGGGTTAAGGTTCTAGAATCAGTAGTTCTTAAGCAGCATCAGAAACACTTCCTGTTTTCCTGAATTGTAGTGTAGGCTAAATGTTAATTAATGATTTTGGTATAAGTACACTACTTCTAAAAACACCTTCAGAAAGAATGAACCCCCCCCCCCCCCCCCCCCCCCCCAAAAAAAAAAAAAAAAAAAAAAAAAATTCGCATACATCATCTAGAAGCTGGTTTGATCACCTAATCAACCAAGTCAGGGATTGAGTTGTCAATTACCATTTTACAAATGTGTTTATTATAAGAAACAAGTAAAGTGCTCAGCTAAAAATATGAATCGAAAGACGGAAAGACAGTAAAACAGTGGGAGGAAGGAGGGAGAGAATGACGGACATGATGTATTGTGTACTCTGTGAGCACCCTTGTGGGTGAAGCTTCCATCACTCGGGAAGTGAAATTTGGCAGTTGTCGTCTGCATTTCAGGTTGAGAACAGAAGAACAAGGTGTAGGGCTTCTCAATAAACCACGACTATTAAGCTGGTCAACAGTTTATTGGATACAGTTTCACTGCCAGTCTGCAATGACTAAGTGGCACAGGCTTAGTTCTTTGACAGGAGCTGAGTTCATGATATGTCATGTCTAATGAAACATAGCACTCCCCTGCTAGGCTATTTCAAATGACAGTGGGTTTCTGAATTCTGATGGGTATCAGATACAGCTGGCACAAGTTTAAGAGAAGAATATTGAAGTACGGAATTTGAGAATTTATTGTACTAATGGATGTAGAACAAGTAAGCTTATGGCTTGTTTGGTAGGTTGTGAACTTGTGATGAATGTTGGTAATATTAATAAATTATATTGAATTTTGTAAAGGAAGTTTCATGCCAATGTCCATGGCAATGCTTGTCCAGCTTCAATGTTATGTTATTCTTCATATATTCTCAATACAATCCATTACCACTTTAGTGTGGTGGTATTGAGTGCAATAAAATTTATTATGAAACATACATATTTGGATGGACAAGCATTATCATGAACATTGACTTGAGACTATCTTGACAGATTTGTATATAAATTCATTACAGTCAATTATCAATGTCTGTCAAATGAGCTGTTAATCCACTTGGAATTCGGAAATCTGCATATTGACAAATTGCAGGTCGAGATGCTCTTTGTGTATTCTTGCATATTGTTGCGTTTAAAAAAGGATTAGATTATGTAAAAGATCTTTAGAGCTCTAAGCTTGATGAGAAAAAGAAATATTCATTGGAAAGAATGAAAGATGGTGGGCTGCAGATCTGGTGGCATATGTTACTGATTAACTTGGAGTAATGAAGATCATTCAATACTCATGAAGTCATGAAAATGGCTGATTGAATCGTTTTTATATGATGATAATTTATGAAGTCATCAATATCAATATGCCACCAGATAATGCATGAAATCATCAATATGGCTGATTGAATTGTTTTTATATGAAGATAATGCATCCTTTCTTTCATGTAACTACTCAAACTTTGAGAAAGAAACATCAATTCATATGAATCTCAACTCATTTTTGTAAGAAAAATTGTGTCCTTGTCAAGATATTGTTTTCGTCTCCATGGGCTTGATGCCAAGATATTGTTTTAAGCATTTGCGGATGTTTTTACTCTCACTTTTGCAGTAGTTAGTTTAAGATGTACCTACCAAGCGAATGAACCCAATGTGTACTTGCTGACTAGAATAATTGAGCATAATTTACTCCCATCTTGAGATGCCTAAATGGTGGTGGTGTACTGGTGTTTGTAATGGTAGCTGAAGCATTTTGTTAATTGTTGCCTATCTTTCTTTTGCATTGTTTAATAGAAAAATATTGGCCCATCTGTAGCTATGATGCTTTTTGGTGATTTGATTTTCATCAAAGAGATATTGGTTTGTTTATACTTGACTCAGATTTTCAGCTCTAAATTTACAGGGGCTGATGGATTATCCAGAAGAGATAGTTGAATATTTTAACAGAAGAGGTGTGTCTGCTGTATTTCTCTTCCGAAGAAATCTACTGCGCCGGTATATTTCAGTACTTGCAAATTCCTTTGACCGCTATGCTAAGATATTAAATGGAACCCACAAGTCTCATGTGCATTCTCCAGAAGAGGTATGAACCTTGATCCTTCTTTTCTTTTCGTTTGTCCAAGTTATGTAAGCTTATCTGCTGCAGCTGATAAATTTGTAGGCTGAGACTCTTTCAAAATACAAACCTCTCATCAATTCAACATCACTATTATCTGCTCTGAAGGAAGCAGAGTTCACAATGGCCCAGGCTTTAGCCAACTTCAACAGCACTAGGCATATTACTCTATATTATGAAGATCTTATCAAGAACCACACTGTAAGAAACTAAACTGTGTGTTTTCTGTGTAACAAGATTTTAAATTAATGCAATAATTATGAAGTTCACGGTGTTAGCATTTTGTTGCCCCCCCCCCCCCGGGCCCTTTTTTTGTTTTTGTTTTCGGGTGGCAATTGAGAATCAGGAAAAACCTAGACATAAAATGCTTGTATCATCAAAGTCAAATTTTATTGGTTTTTGTGGTCCCCCCTTATTGTGACCATCATTAATCAATGAACTTCCTTGTGAAGAAGGTAAAACAACTTAATTGCCATGGATGTTATCATTCATCACTGTTACCTTGCCTGTAATAAGGCATCACAGGTACCTTCCTTGTTGTTTGCAATGGGAGTGATTTAAGGAATTGCTGTCATGAATTACACAATATCTTCTAAGAGGATCATATGGCTGGATCTTAATGTCTTCACCTTTTCAGTATAATGGTCAAAACTGCCATAAGCTAAATTAACTGATACACGGACGATCAAATGGTAAACAGGTGATGGCAAGGTGCTCTTGGGTATAGGGTGGATGGTGATATTAAGTTGATTATTCCAACCTAATGTCATATGATCATTCTTACTGCAAATCTTGAGGGTACCATGGGAAAAGAGTTTACAATTGGTCTTTTTGGGTACGATATGTAATTGATAAAACTTGAGGTCTACTGTGTATAATTTCTCACTTTTATGTTTTGCCGCTTCTGAAGTGTTCTTTTTACTTCATCTTTTGCAGAAACTAGTGGACGTTCAGGACTTTCTTGGGATACCGCATATGAACCTAACAAGCCGGCAAGTGAAGATACACAAAGGTCATCTAAGAGAGCATATCAAGAATTGGGATGATGTCAATAAGACCCTCAATGGGACAGCTTATGCAAAATTCCTTCAACTTGACTATTGAACGGTTGTTATCAGCTAACAAGTGATATGGTGTACATAATGTTGATTTATAAAGTGAGCCCGGAAGCTGAGACCGAAGGCTTGAAGCTTCCTTGTTGATTGAACTGTCCAACTTACTGTAACCAGTTAAGTAGACTTTTGATCGCCTCCTGTTTCTGTTATTTTGCAGCAGTCCATTAGAGTGTAGAATATGTACAACAGTGTATAGGCCCCTTGTATTTTAACTATGTAGTTAGGATTATAGTGTCATGCAAGTATTCTGAAATTTTGATCACATAATTCATAGGTTTTTACTGTGAAAATCAGAATGTAATTTAGAGTGAAAGGATCACAAAGCTTGGACGAATTGTATAAACTACCATCGGGTACTTATGGTTTCAAACCTCCTTATATGACCCCAGGAGTCATTCAATACATTCAATTCATTTTTAAAAAAAGGTTAAAAATTGATCCAAAATCGTATATTATAGCCTTCAATTTTGGACAATTTTCCACTTATTTTGACCCACAACTAAAAATCGCCGAGATGCAGTGATGAGTACCTTTCACGTCGAATCATAATCGAATGATGTGAAAGTGTGGAAAGTCTAGTGTTGCGGTTAGTTTTTATTTCTTTTCTTTCTCTCTATTTTTGAAAACCAAGAAAACAGCCAATCCAGTTTGGTTTGGTCCATGACAATGGTCCAATAATGGTGTAGTTGGGTTGGGTTCGAAAAGAGCTTTCCAACGATATATTATAAGCCCAATTCCGATGAATAATGAGGAAGTTATGACCAAATTACTAAACTGGACCCGGTTTGATTTTTATATGCGGCCCAATGATATAAAGGAGGGCCTATTATGATTTATCATTCCTAATGCAATTAGGATTGATTATAGTCTTCTAGAATCTTCTAAAAGGTTATTTTCAATCCTAATTTAATTAGCATTGATAAATTGACTTTAATTGACTTTTAAAAGTTTTAATTAGAATAAAAGAAGTGTTTTTAAGGAAAATACAGTTTTGCCCTCTCGTACGCTTAAATTTTATCAAAATAAGAAAACGCGTGGGAAATCGTTTGCAGCGCCATACGACAGCTCTGTCGTCTGACGACAGGCGCGTGTTTGACGCCGCAGTCGTGTTTTCTTCTTTTCGAAACTCTGATTCGTTTTTTTATCAAATCCGGCTGATTTTCATTATAAATAGCCTCCTAAGAATCTGTTTTCAATCATTATCAACTTCCATCAACAATCATCAATTTTTCTCTTCTCACCAACTCTCATCAAGAAATTCTTGATTACTGTTTCTTTTTCTAAACCTTCCCTTTCACAAAATTCCGCATACACAAGATCTAGACATACCTAGCCAAATTCGAATTTGCCTTCGCCCTAGACGTGAAAGGTTTTAATTTCTGAGGGTTTGGTCTCAAATCCAGTCTAAACTTTTTTAACTCTTTCTTTTAATTATTTAATTTAATTGTTTGTTTTTTTTTTTCCTTAAAGTTACTAACGTGTGTATTTTGTTATTAGAAAGAGATACGAGACATCCAAGTAAGTGCTTTAATTGTTTTATTGATATTACGATATAGAAATCATGTTTAGCTTGTTATTTTGCTTCATAGTATCATGTTAGGATGTTTTCCTTAGTATGATATTTAGGGTGATTTGCTTATATTAATTATGATTTCTATGATGCCTTTTATTTTCTTTCCTAATAGCATGTTAGTATCATGTTAGGGTTAAAGCTTTGATTTTTATGCTAGGGTTTATTATTAATCTTGTTAGTATCGTGCCTAGGATCTTGCTATTATTATTATGCTTTAACATGATTATTGATTATTGTTTCGGGGTTTTCTGATGTCCTGCGGGAGAGTTACAATTCTGAGACTGGAACCGGACGCCTGTACCTGCAAAACAAACGGATGCTCCGGACGATTGGAGATCCGCCTCCGACGGTCAAGTTAGTACTTGATTAAGGAGTAATTAATGCGGAAATAAAAGTAATTGAGTCTCTCTAGGTGAGAGTGTTAAATGTGCGTAATCCCCCTTAATGAGGATAAATGGGCATATTTATATGCCTTGGGATGCGTGCCAGTACTAGGTTTAGGTTAAACCTAAGGCTGACTGGGCCTCCCACAATGATTGGGCCTTGTTGGCCGGTTTTCCCATTTGGCATGGGTGGACACGTGTCACATTGCAATTGGTCCAAGGAGGACGAATCTCTTGATGACACGTGGCAGGCTCCTATTGACCTACATGAAGGACACGTGGCGAAGCCTGGCTGGCCCACGTGTCGGATGCTGATTGGTGGATAAAAATCCCCTAATCAATTATAATTATACTTATAATTGTTATAATGATTATGATTATTATGTTGCTTGATGATTATATATATTGTTATTGCTTGATCACATCTTTTATGCATGTTTAAAGGGAATTTGTACTTGTAATCACGCTTAATAAGATAATTAATAATCTTGTTTAGGGTTAATTTGGTTATAATTCAATTGATTGCCAATAATAGTTTTATTTGTGCATTAATATTCAACCAACATAGATAAACAGGTTTAGGATTAATCCTATTGATTGCATGTTAGTTAGAAAGTGCACATGAATACGAAAAGAATAAAGTAGAGGCCTATTATTAGGGCAAGTTCAATCTCTTTTAGGTTAGATTTGTACCTTCATCCCCGAACTACCAATCTTGGTTCCAGACCTATTGGAGTTAACGATATCATGGATCGTTAAGGTGTGTAACCTTCACTCTGTGAACAGTTTACAAGTTCCTAAAACTTGTTGGCGACTCTTTTGCTCTAGCTTCCTTCCCTTTGGACGCCACCGTACTTTAGTGTATGATCACAGTGGGGTTCAATTTTGGGTTAATTCTTGAAATATTCCTTACACTAATACACCCCGAGAGTCTATTTAGGTGGGTGCAACCATCCAATATGCCTATAAATGGTCAATTTACCCGTTTGAAACTTGCACCGATTTCGTGAACTTAAGCCTACCTTGGTCATTTATGACGACAAATAATGGTCATATATGGTTCCAAATGGAAATATATGACCTTAAGAAGTATTCCATAGTGTCTCAAGACTTTTCGCCACAGGACCTCGAAACCTTAAAAATTCCTCAAAAAGCGTGGATAATAGCCTTTAATTTTGGATTTTTTTGACCATTTTTTCGCTCGGAAATAAAAATTGCAAAGATGTTACCATGGTCCCTAATACCCTCAGGAAGTCCAATTGGGTGGGTGAAACCATCCAATTTGCCTTTAAACGGTCAATTTACCTATTCAAAACTTGCACTAATTTCATGAACTAAAACCTACCACGGACATTTTTGACAACATATAATGGCCATATATGATTCCAAACGCCATTATATGACCATTACATATATGCCCTAGGGTCTCAAAAGTTTTCGTCACCGGACCCCGTAACATCAAAAATTCCTCAAAAAATGTGGATAATAGCCTTCAATATTGGAATTTTTTGACCATTTTTTTGCCCGGAAATAAAAATTGCCGAAATGTTTACCATGGTCCCTAATACCCTCTGGGAGTCCAATTGGGTGGGTGGAACCATCCAATTTGCCTTAAAACGGTTAATTTACCTATTCAAAACTTGCACTAATTTCGTGAACTCAAACCTACCACGAACATTTTTGACAACATAAAATAGCCATATATGATTCCAAACGACATTATATGACCCTTACAAGTATGCCCCACGGTCTCAAGACTTTTCGCCAAAGGGCCCTGTAACATAAAAAATTCCTTAAAAATGTCAATAATAGCCTTCAATTTTAAATTTTTTTTGACCATTTTATCGCCTAAAAATAAAAATTTATGAGATGTTACCTTAGTCCCTAATAACCTACAGGAGTCCAATTGGGTGGGTGGAACCATCCAATTTGCCTTAAAACGGTCAATTTACCTATTCAAAACTTACACTAATTTCGTGAACTCAAGCCTACCCGTACATTTTTGACAACATATAATGACCATATATGATTCCAAACGTCATTATATGACCCCGTAACATAAAAAATTCCCTAGGGTCTCAAGACTTTTCTCCACCAGACCCCGTAACATAAAAAATTCCTCAAAAAACGTGGATGCCTTCAATTTTGGAATTTTTTTGACCATTTTTTCGCCCGGAATTAAAAATTATCGAGATGTTTACCAGGAACCCTAATATCCTCCGGGAGTCCAATTAGGTGGAATGTACCATCAAATTTGCCTTAAAACGGTCAATTTACCTATTCAAAACTTGCACTAATTTCGTGAACTAAAACCTACCACGGAAATTTTTGACAACATATAATGACCATATATGATTTCAAACGTCATTATAAGACCCTTACATGTATGATCTAGGGTCTAAAAACTTTTCGCCATCAGACCCCGTAACATCAAAAATTTCTCTAAAACCGTGGATAATAGCCTTCAATTTTGGAATTTTTGACCATTTTTTTCGCCCGAAATTAAAAATTGTTGAGATGTTATCATGGCCCAAATACCCTCTGAGGGTCCAATTGAATGGGTGGAACCATCCAATTTGCCTTAATTTGGTCAATTTACCTATTAAAAACTTGCACTAATTTCGTGAACTCAAGCCTACCACGTACATTTTTATGATAACATAAAATGGAGACATATGATTCCAAACGTCATTATATGACCCTTACATGTATGCCCTAGGGTCACAAGACTTTTCGCCACCGAATCCCGTAACATAAAAAATTCCTCAAAAAACATGGAAAATAACCTTCAATATTGGAATTTTTTGACCACCCCGAAAATAAAAATTGCCTAAATGTTTACCATGGTCCCTAATACCCTCCAGGAGTCCAATTGGGTGAGTGGAACCATCCAATTTGCCTTAAAACGGTTAATTTACCTATTCAAAACTTGCACTAATTTCGTGAACTCAAGCCTACCACGGACATTTTTGACAACATATAATGGCCATATATGATTCCAAACGTCATTATATGATCCTTACATGTATCCTAAGGTCTCAAAACTTTTCGTCACCGGACCCCGTAACATAAAAAATTCCTTAAAATATGTGAATAGTCTTCAATTATGTTATATTTTGACCATTTTATCACCCGAAAATAAAAATTTCTGAGATGTTACCATAGTCCCTAATAACCTCCAGGAGTCCAATTGGATGGGTGGAACCATCCAATTTGCCTTAAATCGGTCAATTTACCTGTTCAAAAATTACACTAATTTCGCGAACTCAAGCCTACGACGGACATTTTTGACAACATATAAGACCATATATGATTCCAAACGTCATTATATAACCCTTACATGTATACCCTAGAGTCTCAAGACTTTTTGCCACCGGAACCCGTAACATTAAAAACTCCTCAAAAAACGTGGATAATAGCCTTCAATTTTGGAATTTTTTGACCATTTTTTTCGCCCGAAAATA